TGATGCCTCTTGTACCTTTAGAAAGTCGTTCAACAGCCTCGCAAATAGAGGTTGGGGAGCTGCTTTGGTGACGAGTGATCCGACTCTTAATAAAGTTGGATTGAGAGCTTGCCTCTACTGGGTTGTTTGGTGTCCTTGAAACCCAAGGCGGAGGTGTCTGTGGTAGTGATGCTGGAGGCGTTGGAGTGTGTAGCCGGATATCCAGCTTTGATAGGACGCTTTCTGCACTCAGAGGAACAAGCCCAGCTCCTCTAAAACCCCCTTGGATGTTTTTTTCAGTCATCGCTTGACTAAATGCGCTGCGATATGCAGGAAAGAAGTCCTCCTTTGAGATGTGGGTTACGCCCCGCCGCATCTTATCCTCAATTTGTTGCCCATACGCCGTCTTTAGCGGACCAAAGCACCCAACGTCAAGGGGCTGGAGTAGATGAGACGAATGAGGCGGCATACAAAGTGTAACGATCTTGTTTGCCTTGCAATATAGCTCAAAGTCTGTTGAGTGGTGACTTTCGTGCCCGTCGACGACGAGGAGGCGATATTGGCCTCTCAAACGTGGTTTCGTATGACGATCATAGTGCTGGATCCAATCTAGGCCTCTTTCATTTGTTGTCCATCCGTTTTCTGACGTCGCAATGACCCAGTCGTCCGGGAAACCTGACTCTGTATACCAGGTTGAGAGGTGATATTGGCCTGCAACGATGATGTACGGCGGGACGTTATAGCCTTGCGAGTTGATGGCTTGAATCACTGTAACCCATTCTCGATTACCAGGCTGCGCCATTTTTGTGTTTGAACGCCTTTCAGTACTTGTGACAACCATGCCAGATGCAATCTGGCCCATCATAAAGCCAGTCTCATCAAAGTTGTAGATATCAAACTCATCGATACCATACTTCGCGATTGTGTTCTTCATAAGAGCGAACCAGCCGCGAATAGCCTCTGCATCCTCGTATTGGGCCCTCTTGTAGTCGTACCTCCGAAAAAACCGCGTCCGTAATTGTGGTTGTCGTTTGACGAAGTTTAAGGCCTAGCGCTTCCCAACCGGAGGCGCGTCGCGATCAGTAAGTAGTCGATTAGCTATTTCTTCCACACCACGGATCCGGGGAGGGAATGATCGGGTATCTAGATCGAGAATGTGATCAACTAACGTCTGCTCTTCTAGTAAAGTAAGATTCCTCGAGTTCGGTATCCTGTCGCTTCGAGATGTAGAGCCCTTCAATCGTCGACTCAATGTTGCATGGCTGACCGAGTAGATCGTAGCTGCAGCCCGTGCACTAAGCTCTGGATTGATTCTGATAGCTTGAAGGGCCAGCTGTATGCCTGACTCATTACTTCTGGACGCCATGATGTGTTGTGGAAGAAACGTCTCCATTTGTGTTGAAGCATCATCGGCGCAGTTTTGTGTCTCACTCGCTTGTCTGTCTCACTCGCTTATCATTCACGTTAGTAGTAACGTACCTGCATAGCGAGCGACGCATCATAGCGAGCGACGCACTCTCTCAAACCTTTCTACCTTATGTATAAGTTAACTTAGCCACAACGTACGAAATCAATTAAAACTATATATCACCCTCTTCCTCATTACTATCCCAAACCACTTCACAGGTTCGTGCGTTATGTCCAGGCTTCCCGCAATTACCACATCGTCGCGCGCGTGGTTCAGCACCTTCCGTACGACCCTCCTTCTGAGGGTTATTCTCTCCTCCAGCATTAACACCACCCTTCTCTACTTGTAGTGCCTCTGCTTCAGCACTATTAAGTGACCCTCCAAGACGTAGCCGGGTCTTTTTTGCCCTCCGGCGCTTACTTAGTACCTCTATCCCCGTACGAAGCTTACGGTTCTCAGCCTCAATAATAGCAAGCCTATGGGCTAACTTGCTAATACCTCTGGCCTGGAAGTCAATTACTTCGTACATTGCTGTTGGTGAGCTACCTTGATGTGCTTGGATCTTCCTTTTAAGGGAGGTAGCACTTCGTACGCCCTCTAGTGCTGTAATTGGTGTCCTTGGGTCCCAGGAGCCTTGGCTGCTTGGCCGTGAGTTTGATGGTGTTGGCGTCTTTGGCTTGAAATCCAAGCGAGAAATAACCACTTCAGGGTTAAAAGGTACAAGGCCTGCCTGCCTAAAACCAGCTCGTACGTTATTTTCGCCCATGGAAGTAAAGAATGCTGCTTTAAAGGCAGGAAAGAAGTCATCCTTTGTACTATGGGAAATCTGTATCCGCATCATCTTCTCGATTTCCTTGCCGTACGAGTACTTTAACGGGCTAAAGCACCCAACATCAAGAGGCTGAAGCTCGTGTGATGAATGGGGAGGCATACAAAGAGCAATAATGTTTTGTTCCTTGCAGTATTCGTCAAAGTCAGTCGATTTATGGCTATTATGGCCATCAAGGATCAAGAGGCGATAAGAGCCCTTCGTACGAGTCCTTGTACACTGATTAAAGTGCTTTAGCCAATCTAGGCCAATATCATTTGTCGTCCATCCATTTTCGCTTGGATGGATACGCCATGTGGCTGGAAATTGGCCATGAATATACCACGAGAGGAGGTGATATTTGCCCTTTACGATGACGTACGGAGGCAGCGCCCAGCCATCCGCACATACACCCTGAATGACAGAAACCCATTCTCGATTGCCAGGCTGTTTCGTACGAGGCCTTCCCTTACGGTCAGAAGTCGTAACAACCTTTGCGTGCGATAGCATTCCCATCAGGAAACCAGTCTCGTCAAAATTATAGATATCGTTATCCTGTATCCCATACTTTGCAATTGTGTTTCGCACAAGTGCAAACCAGCCTTGTATAATCGTAGGATCCTCAGCTAAGGCCCTCTGATAGTCGATTCGACGTTGAAACCGCATTTTCAATTCAGGGACGCGTCGTACGAAGTTCTCTGCCCATCGCGGTCCAGTACGCGTCCCATCGCGTGCGTTTAGGAGTTGGTCGGCCATTTCTCGTACGTCTTCTTGTCGCGGAGGGAACCCTCGATCGATTAGGTCAATAACTCGTTCAAGAATCACCTCCTCTTCTGTTATAGTCATCTTCATCGAATTTGGTCGTGTTTCACCTCGTGCGACGCGTCCAGCGCGTCGGTGGCGGAGGGTTGATTCAGGGACCTCATAGATAGAGGCAGCTCTTCGTATAGACATTTTCGGGTCTTTTTCAATAGCTTGGAGGGCAAGGGTAATTCGACTTTCAATTGAGGAGGATTGCATGTTCGTACGTGGAGAAAAGGTGACCTAAAGATGAAGAGGGTAGAATTGGGAGGACGTGCGTCGCTCGCTATGATGCGTCGCTCGCTATGCAGGTACGTTAGTAGTATTTAAAATAATCAGGGACAGGAGCCTAGCTATCTAACTAACTAAGCCCGATCAACCAGAGCGCCCTTTGGGCATATGATGTACCGTGCCGCTATCTAAACAGCGTACGACAAGTCAGACAATCTATAATGTACAATTTTCTTCTCGTACCTAGAGCAGTGGAGATCATTAGCTAATCCCTAGGGTCCGTTCAGTTCCAAAAAGCACGCCAGCAGGGATTTCCTAACTCGGCAGAAGCGAATAGGCCTTAAGTAGCCCTACATCGTCCACAGACGACGGGCTATAACGAAAAGGCCGGCCCTCGCGGGCGTAATTGCCCACGAGTACATTTTTCTATTTTCCAGTATTATCTCGAGTAGATCGGGAAAAATAAAGGAGGGAGAGGGAGGGTAGAGGTAGGGCTATGGCCCAAGAGGTATCGGTAGGTATATGATAAAGTGTAAGGCGTGGTATCTCGGGCTCGCTATCCCCTCACAGGGAGTGCGTTTCGAAGTACCGCGTCAAGCGCTCGAACTTCTCAAAGGCGCCCGGATCTCCAATCAGGGCGTACCAGTAGGCTTCGGCCTGGCCCTTCGGGGGAGTATGTATTGCATGTTGTGAGGTGATTCTGGTATCTTCCCACCCTAACAGGTCGAGAATTCCTGACCGGAAACATGACATGTAGAAAAGATGTGGTGTAAGTACATCTATGAGAATGCCAGATAGGAGGAGGAATCAAGCAAGTGCCCATCAAAAAACAACCGAGTCCTGAGGTGAACCTACATTACATCTGCCAGTCATCTTGCTTGGCCTTGGGTACGCGCTCACATCTCCTTACATGTTGGGCAGGTGTAATGTGCACCTTCCCCTGAGAACCCTCGAGGTTTTCTGCTCTGGCGTGATTGCCATGGCAGTCCAAAAGGCTGTACAGCCTAGATGGACCACAAAGTACATATTGCCGGCCGTCCTTTCTCAAGTTTCATTTTCGAACTGGACAGACTTTGGGGAGGACATGATTTTTCGTATTGGCATTTAGGAAGCAGTGCGCTCGAAATATTTGAGATAGACACGTTAAGACTGAAGTTGCCGTTAAAACTATCAGTATTGCCTGCAGAGGGATCTGGAGGCCCATTCATCTGGAGTTAGGCCGTATCCGTGGGCATTGGGCAGTTTCGTCGTTCTCGTAGATAGGTACTTCGTATGAGTTGGCCCTTAGTTAACAAGTCTAATTAGATAATACTACATGCATCGATTTTCCAAGGCTTTCAATGAATGTTCGATGGTGAATTCACTGAAATAAAGAGTTGTGAGAGGTAAGGATAGTCGTGGTGATGGATAATAGATAGAAGAGTGATGGTCGTCATAGGTTGTGTGAGGAAAGCTCGATGGTTATCTCAAGATTTGATCTTTTGTAATTTAGTATATCGTTATCTAGTCCTATGGCAGAACTCGTTTTCGGCATCTCAAATCGAGGTAATGATCTTGAACTTAAGACATATTTTTTGGATTGTGTCTGAATCTTTGGTGAAGTCTGTAATTAATGCAATAATGGGATGACGTGATTGAGTCTCACATCCTTTAATCGTGTTCAAAATCCCAACCCCACAGTCTACGCCCGGACTCGGACCCCCGCTCGCGACTCGCGATTATTGAAGTTGCGCGGATTTAACCTTCCAGTCCGCTTGCGCTATTAATCAGCTACCTTAGTTGCCTTCTCAAACTACGTGACTGCGATCTACTTAATATCACATCTATCACAGTCATCTCGACAGGAAAAGAATTTTGTCAAACATCGACACAATGGCTCGAATTCTCATCACAGGCTCTTCCGACGGACTTGGCGCCGTCGCCGCCCGCACTCTCCTCAAGAACGGACACCAAGTCGTCATTCACGCCCGCAACGCCCAGCGAGCTGAAGATGCGAAATTGGCCGTGCCAGGCGCCGAAACAGTTCTCATCGGCGACCTCTCCAAGATTGCAGAGGTGAAGAAACTCGCCGAGGATGCCAACAAGCTGGGAACATTTGACGTCGTCATCCACAACGCCGGCCTCTACCGCGGGCCCTACCGCAAGACCGATCTCGGACTGCCAAGCTTGACTGCTGTCAACGTCTTTGCACCCCATATACTCACATCCTTGATCAACAAGCCCAAGAGGATCGTTTACATCTCTTCCGGCCTGCACAAGAGCGGCGACACCAGCTTCACCGATCCGACGTGGCGCGAGCGCGGAGAGGGAGGGTGGAATGAGACGCAGGCGTATTGCGACTCGAAGCTGCATGTCACCACGTTGGCCAACGCCGTTGCTCGTCTGTGGCCGGATGTGAAGAGTAACTCGGTCGATCCTGGCTGGGTTCCGACCAAGATGGGTGGTTCGAGCGCGCCTGAAAAGGCAGAGGATGGAGTGGCGAGCTACGTTTTGCTGGCGGAGGGAATTGGTGCTGGAGATGTTACTGGGAAGTACTTCAAGCCTCCCGGACAGGAGGACAATCCCGTGCCATTCACAAAGGAGAAGCAAAGGCAAGACCAGCTGTTGAAGCTGCTCGAGGAGGAGACTGGGGTTAAGCTTCCTGTCGCGTAGATGTTCCTTACCTTGAGGTTGTCAACTTACACCAGCAGAGAGGCCGTGGTTGATCAAAAAAGATACCTGGTGAAGAAAGCTTACTTTTCGCATGATATTATTGATCGACCACATAATTAGTCACTTCGTGCCTCAAGAGCCTGGGTGATGTTACCGTGACCCTGCAGCATGTGTTTCTCAGGTCTTGGCCCTCTGCTGGTACGGTTGATCGGGATTTCCCCGGTGGCCGTCGAGAAGTGAGCGGCGGCATCCCGGCCGCTCGTCCGAGCCGCACACGCCGGCTCCGCGGCTATGTGATCAAAAGAAAACAGCACGCAGGTATTGAATCACGCAAAGATCTTAAGGTGGTCGGGGTGCGACGAGTTTGGATAGGATGGAAGGAACACCGAAATCCCACTATCCGGCAGCTTGTCCCACTGTAATACCCCGGCATCTCTCTGCCGATCTCGGCGCCGACCGCGCGGGGAAATTCCGAGTGCTTCGAGAAGCATGACATTAACCCTTAGCTTTGTGACTAGCCACGGAACGATGTCAGTCTTGTAGGTATTCTTCCAATTTCCAGATACGAGCGGGCAATCGTTAATCGTGGTGGTGCTCACGGGCTGGCTGGCGCCAGCATAACTGGCGACCGCCATTGTGTGCATTGTTAGCGACCGTCCGGTCTCTGAGCGAGTGGAGGTTGGAGCCGTTGCTAAGAGAAGATAAGCTCTTTCCAAGCCAATGGCGGTTGGGGTTTGCCCATGGGGGCGGATCTAGTCTCTGTTAGTCTAGAGGGTCTCTGAGGAAATCATTTGTGTTCTGTATGGCTAGCAGCGGCAGCAGAGAGGGGTGTGTGGGTTTGTTGGCCCCCCAAGGGTGTGCTGCACGCTTGCCATTACAGTCTTGGCCTTTTTGATGTGATGTCACGGTCACAATGAAACGCACAGTCTCTGATATCCCATCGATTCGTTGCCCAGGGTTCGTCTCATTTGGGTGTGACGACGCTCGGTTGGGATAGCTGTCACTCAGGAAGTGAATTATGCGGCGACACTTCGGCGTATTCATGAGCTCTAGATTGCCTTTTGTCAGATATATCTGCTGGTTTCAGGGTAAGAAGAAACGTTGTTGGTCAGAGTCTTGCAGAACATTGTCCGCGAGCGAGCATACGGGTACTTTCTGACTGCTTGATTAGCGGGCTTTTCTGACCTTAGCTGTGTGCTCCCAAGTCTAAACACCGTGCTATCCCCATATGCTGGCCAACGAACCCTCCAACCATTCCTGTGTCCCCCAACATGGAGAACGGCATCCACCCTCCCCGGACTGGTGTCAACCCTCGTCGGCCCTAACTTCTTCTAGGTTCTTTTGACTCATGGATAACACCGCTCCTGAATTAGTGCTCACGGGGTTACGCCGTCGACAGGTCTCGCAGTTCGTATAAGACTGCGCTGCCGTACGAACTCTCGCTGTTTGTAGTGGTCTTGATCTGCAACTGTTCAGCCTGCTTTCGCGACTGCACCAAACAGCCCATCATGGACAGTCCGCACGACAAAACACACGTCGAACCTGAGAGCCCCCATATCGAACACCATGGGGACCAGGAGCCGTGGCACGGCATGTCCGTCGGCCGCTATCTGGGAACACGCTTCACCACCCTCAAGCCGCCTATGCTAAGCGCACCGAACCCTCTGAGGCTCGTCAAGATGATCAACGGAAGGCAATGGGCCTTCTTCGCTGTCGCCTTCGCTGCCTGGGTATGCCTCCATCATATCTTTGCCAGCCTTATTTCCACATCGTACCTCTGCTTACGATTCTCAATAGACCTGGGACGCTTTCGACTTCTTCACCGTCTCCCTCACCATCACCGAACTCTCCGAAACTTTTGACAAGTCCAAGACCGACATCACCTGGGGAATTACCCTGGTGCTCATGTTCCGATCCGTTGGCTCCATCATCTTTGGTATCGCAGCAGATCGCTACGGCAGGAAGTGGCCCTTCATCGTGAACAACCTCCTGTTCATCGTCCTTGAGCTAGTAAGCAAAATTACTCGTCATCTCTTCTCTCTAACTGCGCTACGTTGATTGGCTTCAACCGGCAATTATGTGCCGAGCCTGGCCGGCGCCAGACAAGCTTTCCCCTCTCCCCTCTCCCGTCTTGGCTGCGCCATTGGGGAATCCCTGCCCCCCTCCACAAACCCGTTCTTCCCCCCAAACTCCTCTCTCTTGGTTGATCTTGTTCGGTCACCTGTATGTTAGTGCCATGCGTGGCAGTGGTGACATCAGCAATTGCCCTTTGTTCTGCGCCATCTTTGTTGTCTGCTTTGTTTTCTTTTTTGTTGCAAGCTAACAAGCCGATTTCCGCAGGGTACTGGCTTCTGCCAAACCTACGAGCAGTTCCTGGCATGTCGCGCCCTCTTCGGAGTCGCCATGGGCGGTCTGTACGGCAACGCAGCAGCCACCGCCCTCGAAGACCTCCCCTCAGAGACCCGCGGAATGATGTCCGGCGCCTTACAGCAAGGTGTAAGTCTCAATTCCTGAAACCAAACCACCAACGTTGGCCCGAATCCCCCAGTTGGTCGCATCACGAGACTAACCTTCCGCTTTGCCGATCAGTACGCCTTTGGATACCTATTGGCTGCGGCCTTTTCCCGAGGGCTGGTCAACACGACCCCGCACGGCTGGCGCCCTCTCTTCTGGTTCGGAGCCGGTCCGCCAGTCCTCTTCATCGCGTTCCGTCTGATGCTGCCCGAGACCGATACCTTCATCGAGCACAAGCGTATTCGCGAGGCGGCCGGTCGACGCGCCGAGGAAGCCGGGCACACGAGCGTCACCTCCACCTTTTTGAAGGAGGGTAAAGTGGCTCTGCGCAGACACTGGATGATACTGACATACCTGGTCCTCCTCATGGCCGGATTCAACTTTATGTCGCACGGCAGTCAAGATCTCTATCCCACCATGCTGACAACCCAGTTCAACTTCAATGCCGACATGGTGACCGTCACGCAGGTCGTCGCGAATCTGGGTGCTATGCTTGGCGGCACTACTGTCGGCTACTGCAGTCAGATCTTTGGTCGACGCTTCAGTATTATGGTCTGCTGTGTCGTGGGAGGTGCCTTGCTGTACCCCTACACTTTCGTCACGACCGAAGCAGTCATGGCCGCCGCCTTCTTCGAGCAGTTCTGCGTGCAGGGCGCCTGGGGTGTGATTCCTATTCACCTCATGGAACTCAGCCCCGGTGCATTCCGCACGTTTGTGGTCGGCACGTCGTATCAGCTGGGTAACCTCGTCTCATCGGCCAGTTCCACCATTGAGTCTCGCCTCGGCGAGAACTTCCCCCTCACGCCAAAGGGCACGACGAAGCGTTACGACTATGGCAAGGTTATTTGCATCTTCATGGGATGCGTGTTTGCCTATGTGTTGTTGTTGACCTTTATCGGTCCTGAGCACCTGCGGCGCAGCTTTGATGTAGCTGATGATTCGGATATGAGAGAAGTTGCTGGGGATGAGATGATGGAGGATGAGCTTCATAACCGCGAGGGCCGAGCCGGTCACCTTGCGCATAGTGATGAGGAGCTGGGACATCAGGAGAAGTTTGCTACGCACCAGGAATAAGCTAAAGCTAAAGCAAGCGGTCATGCCGTAATTTTGTAGCTGAGACGTAATCAAAATGCCAATCTCACTGAGCAATTGAAGCCCATTGACAAGCTTGTGTCAATGAAACTAGACTCCTTATTCGGACTCATCGAAAGTAAAGTTTTGGGGCTAGGGAACAGGCTGGTTTCGTCAACTGTCTAAGAAAAACATTGAGTTTGACGCAATCGGACCGGCTCGTTCAGATTTGCTCCAGCTGCGGGTGTCGCGTGAATCTCCCGCCCGGGGGCTCTCCCGGGCCCAATCCCGGCAAAGTGGACCCTTTTCCGGACTTTTCGCCAAATTCGCCTTGATGACATTTGTGCTTATCCGCATTGGATGCTGTACATGAATCCATCGTATTGAAGATCACCTCACTGGTATTCTGTCTCTCGGAAAGGCCAAGACTTGTTGAAGCCGTTTAGCCGATTGCGAAGCGATCGCTCCTTTTCCGGATGAGAACTCTGCCGCTGCATCAGATCCAGTCCCTTCAGCCAAGATAGCATTTAAAGGGTTGGGTCGTATGTGCACGTCGAACACGAGGTGATTAATAAAAGGATATGCAGGAACCTGCAGCTCGCAGGCGCCTGACAACGGATACTTATCAAAGGCAGGGCTCATTCAGCCCTTTCGCGTCCTGTTCACCCTGTAATCCGGTCACGATGGGCTTCTGCAGTTCATTTAACCCCCAGCTGCACTACGAAGTACATGTCATAAGCCTAATCGTACTCTGGACTAGGAATGGTGCCATCTCGCGCAATCAGTGACCGACCGCCGACCGGGCCAATATCAGCGTGTTTTCCGAGTCACGCAGTTGCCCGTTATCGAGGAGAGCGCAACACGAAAAATGCGAGATTTGGTCTTGCAATTTGCCATTAACTGCACCTTGTCCTTCCAGGGGTAGCGTCTTGGCAACGTCTCTTGGGTAGCATTGAGCACTACAGAACGAGTTTACCCCTCAATTCTTACAGCAAATCTCTTTTGTTTGCTGTTCACCGCGATGGAGGTTCATGATCAACATTCGTAAAATGCGCCGGGGATGGCATGTTCATAGTCAACTTCGAATACGAGATGCTACGTACTCGAGGCGATGACTTTGTATCTCTTCGACTATCATGAGAACTTCACCTAAATAGAAGGTCGGTGATTATCGCGAAGTTTGAAAAAAGACGGTATGATTGTCAATGTAAGTGCTGCACCATCGTCCGATACCGCGTGCGACCCCGGCATATTAGCCATCCCAAGAAGGAAGCTCATTCCAACAACAATGGCGATATCGCCAGGAATCTCTACGCCCATGACCGTATCGGCAATGTAACGCTGCAACAATGAGTAGCAGCCGGGTTTCGGTAGAAGTAAAGGGAATGTCACCAAAGTCGTAAAGAAGTCGTGATTATAAAAGCTTCATCCCACCGGTATGTTTATTACTGTTCTCGAGGCAGAGCTTCAAGCGGCGCACTATCTTGGGTGAATCCTCATGATGCATCTGCTGAGCATTGCCAGTCTCCTCGCGCTTCCCGTTCTGGGGAGCGCACAGTCTTTCGCTACTCGTCAAGCTCCAGAGGCCGCAGATGAGACCAACAACGCTACTGTCCCTATTGCCAAAAGCTACATCATCGAGTATGCCTCGGTATGAACATGCCCTCTGTCACGAATCAGCATATAGAGTAGCTCATGGAAATCGGGATCTCAACTGTGGTCTAATCAACTATGGAAAAGGGGAAAAGGGAAGCCCTCGAGGGAGCCCCTTTTGTATGCCCATGCCCCTGTCTACCCCTGAGATATCCACTGCTATACCTCTTTCGTGACACCCTCTTCACCCACTATTACAATAGGCCTGATCTAATATTTACCAATAGGGATCTGCTAAAGCTCGTCGCGACGTCGCCCTCGAAGCCGATATCAAGGTCGTCAAGAACTTCGAGAGCGACATATTCTCCGGCGCCAGCATTGAGACCGACACCCATAACATTGATAGCCTGCAGAACCTAGCCGGTGTCGTTCGCGTCTGGCAGAACACCCGTGTCAGCTTGTCTCCTGTTGAGGGGCTTGAGTCGATTGAGGAGGCTGCCGCTGGTGACTACAGCCCACACAACACCACCGGTGTGAGTAAGCTCCATGACAAGGGCATTTTTGGGAAGGGAGTCAAGGTTGGAGTTGTTGACTCTGGAACTTGGTACCTGCACCCAGCCGTAAGCAACTATCTAACATTGAGTGAGTTGTCTGGGTGCTGAACGTCTTACAGCTGGGAGGTGGCTTCGGTCCGGGTTTCAAGGTTGCTGGCGGTTATGATCTTGTCGGCAACGGCAGTAAGTCTTGAAAGTAACCTGCGCATTCATTGAGATTCTAACGAACACGCGTAGTCTGGCCCTATGAAGATAAGACCCCAGATAATGATCCATTGGACCAGCTTGGACATGGTAAGTAGACATGACACCTGGCACATGAGCAAGATCTGACCACCGTACAGGAACTCACGTGGCAGGAATCATTGCTGGAAAGAACGATTGGTAAGGCCATCAATAAGCTTTTTGCACTACCTGCACAGGAAATTAACGCTTCTTTCCTACAGGTGGAGCGGAGTTGCTCCTGAGGCGACGCTCTACTCATACAAGGTCTTTGCTCAACTGGTAAACTCGGCTTCCGAACCATCGGAGGCTTTCTCATTTCTGACTTGCGGCAGGATACTACGGACGATGCTACGCTCATCGAGGCTTTCCTCAGGGCCTACTCCGACGGCGTATGCATCTTTCAGACCTCGAGAGATAGCAGCAAGCACTGACACCAAGACAGGTCGACATCATCACTGCCAGTATCGGCGGTCCAGGCGGCTGGTCTACGAACGCGTGGGCTGAGATCGCTTCTCGCTTGGTCGACGAGGGAGTCGTAGTTACCATCGCTAATGGTAACTCGGGTGCTGCCGGTGCCTTCTTCGGAAGCAGTGGTTCCTCTGGCAGAAATGTTCTCGCCGTCGCCTCTGTGGAGACCGAGAAGTATCCTGCTTCACCTTTTGAGTTGACATCAATTCTCGACGGCAATACCGAGACTGTCAAGGTATGACGTTCGACCACGAATCGTATGCCATAGCCTCTAACATCAAACAGGCTGGATACTTGCCTTCAACTTACTACTTCTCATCCGACATTGTTGACTGGCCAGTCGTTCCTCTGAACTTCGACATCACCGACCCCGCGGACGGCTGCGAGCCTTATCCCAATGGTACACGAAGCCTCAAGGGCGTCATTCCCTTGGTGAGAAGAGGCACCTGCACTTTTGCGACTAAGCAGGCCAACCTTGTTGCCCTTGGTGCTGAGTACATCTTGTTCTACAACAATGAAAACCCTATCATCACTCCCGGAACTGATGATGATGTTGGTCTGATTGCTCTCATCACCGCCGCAGCTGGTAAGGCCATCATTGAGACGGTCCAAGCCGGCGGCAATGTCACCGCGGACTTTTCTCTCAACCCTGAGCAGGTTGTTGGTCTGGAATACCCCGCAGGTGGCAGACCTAACACTTTCACTTCTTGGGGTGCTTCCAACGACCTGGATATCAAGCCCGATATTGCTGCTCCTGGTGGTCAAGTCAGTCTTATCACTTTGCTCATCTCATTTCTAGAAAATCCTAACATGTTTATAGATCTTTAGCTCCTACCTTGATGATACCTATGCTCTGCTCTCCGGTACCTCAATGGCAACACCGTACGTAGCAGGTGTTGCTGCCCTCTTCATCAGTGCCCACGGCGGCCGATCCGTCCATGGTATGTCCTTTTATTTAGCATGACTGTGGAGCCTGAGGCTGTAGCTGATACTTTCTCGTTCCAGGCAAGGGCTTTGCCAAGACCCTACACCAAAGAATCATCGCCAGCGGAACCTCTCTTCCCTGGTCTGATGGAACCGCGACCGACTACGGCTTCTCCGCATCAGTTGCCCAAGTCGGCAACGGTCTCATCAATGCCTTCAAGATCGTCAACTACACCACTGACATTGCCTTTGAGAAGATAGCTCTCAATGACACCCATTATTTCAGTCGTTACCACGATGTGACTGTTACGAATAATGGTGCTAAGGATGTTAGCTACAAACTTTCTTACGAAGCTGCTGCTGGGGTGGAGATTCTTGGCTGGTACCCATTCGTCGCACCGTGGGGTGGTGAGAAGAGACTCAAGAGCTTCACGGAGTTGACGCCCACAAGCCTGCCTGTCGAGGTGTCTTTGCCGAGAGACTTCACCCTGAAGCCGGGCGAGAGCAAAACTGTCAGGTAAGATGCATATTGCAAAAGCACATCCCATGTTGCAGTGACCTAACACGCAAAGTGTCAACTTTCCTAATCCCAACGGTCTTGGCTGGAACTCTTCTGCTCTACCCATCTACAGCGGAAAGGTCATTGTCTCGGGCAATAATGGAGAGCAACTTTCCGTGCCCTACCTAGGTGAGATTGCGCTGTTATGTTCCACATTAATATCTACCTGACTAACTCCCATGCAGGCCTCGGTGCGAACCTGAAGGCCGAAATTAGCCCGATCTACCGTCCCTCGTACCCATTCACCACCCAGAGAGACTAGTAAGTTTATACACTCTGGCCATGGGGCAACTACAGGCTAACTTTGGGCAGCGTCTACTCCTTTAATCTCGATCCATCTGTCGCCGATTTCCCCATCATCTACTCAAAGCTCATTTGGGGCAGCAAGGAGGTCCGATGGGATGTAAGTCTTATTGCAACTTCGCAGGAGCGTGAGAATATGAGCTGACCTACATCAAGATTTACGAAGCTGGTTGGACTGATAGGCAATGGGAATATCCGCCCGTTCCCGGCCAAAGCGGCTACATTGGCCCAGCCACGAGCCACGTTGTAGCCGGCAGTGTGTCGTACTTTGACCCTACTCTCTACGACCCAGATGACACCTGGACCTACCCCGAGGTCGACTTGTACCGTAATGCTCAGACCCAGGCATCGTACCACGAGTTTTGGTGGTTCGGGAAGCTTGGCAACGGAAGCCAGATTGAACTCGGAAACTACACGTAAGTGATGGTCAATCTTCGTATACGTGCCGAGAACTAAGGTAGCTGACAATAATCTCAAATAGCATGCGATTTGCCACGTTGAAGCCTTTCGGAAACCCTGCAGCTGCTGATAACTGGGATGTTTTCCAGACACCGCAGATCCAGGTCACCGGAAAGTACGAGAGGCGAGGATAGGAGAAGCATAGCAGATGAGTTGTGTTGAACAACTAGAATACTGGTGAGGCATGGTTCTATCTGTGTATTTTAGATATCACTATCGCCCTGGACTTTCAGGTGTCAGAAGATCCTTAGATAGCTCCCAAGATCATGCCTTTCAAAACCCACACTTGTCAACCCTACTCCGATCGCTTCTTGTAATCCTCATCCGTGACGGCTTCATGCCACTTCGTTTCCCCGATGCCGACGACAAAGTGCGTCATAATGCTTCCATCGTCGGCGCCGTGCCAGTGAGTCGTGCCCGGGGGAGCCCAAACTGTGTCTCCAGCGTTGATTCGCTTAGCCTCGCCGCCCTTGTCGCAGACCCAACCGCTTCCAGCCAGCACTCTAATCATCTGCCCGCCGACGTGCGTGTGCCAGTGTGTCCGAGCGCATGGGGTAAAGGTGACGTTGGCAATGACGGCGCTCTCGTCTCGGTTGATGAGTTCCATATAGACATCACCGGTAAAAGTAGCGGTTGGCTTTGCTACTGGTGTAGCCGAGGCCGGAATGACTTTGGATTCTGGCATGTTGGTGATTGCTTGGTGAGATGTCGTTGATCTAGGTTGTTGTTTGAGGGGAGGTTTGTGCTTCAAACGGGCAGCGGGTGCGGTAGTTATAATCACGCCATTAAGTCTCCGCTATGTTGGCATTTCATGGCAAGTGGAACCGGGAGGACATCATGCGAGGTCTTTGATCTGATCTTAACAGCAGAACTCAATGTGAGCTGCACCGAGAACACGATAAAACGAACGGCCTTATCCGCGTCCATCAGTCGCTAGCACATACCTGAACCGAGATAACTCGGCATCAACTGCAATCGGCTGAGGCACGGGCGCCCTCAGACGCGGCGGAGATCGGCCGAAGTGGGGTTGGCTGACAGCTCCCCGCATCTTGAGTGATAACTCCGTGTGGTTGTAACTATCTCCGTCTCGATTTACTGCTCCACGATTCAAGTCATGGCTGATTCATGAGCCGAACATCCGGGTATGGACCTAATTCACAACCAAGTTCGAGCGGGCGAGTTGCGTCCATGGCTAAGTTTGTCTTGAATACCTCTACCCGATAAGTATGCGCCCACCATGATCGGGGGTTTGCTCAAAGCTCGCTGAATTAACTAACACCGTCAGCCATGCTGTTAGCTTTTACATGCAGTCAGCGTTTCAATTTTCCTGAGAAAATACAAAGATTAGAGTAAAATTTGACGAGGCAGCCCTCGACCTCTGCTTAACCGAGTGGTTGCGGATGTTCAACTACATGTACTCATGACTGCTCAAGCATATCCTTCCGGTTCATGTAGAAATTGTCCATGATCGTCTCTTCCACCGCCTTCATGTCAATACCTTCTGCCTTCTTATTTAATCTCTTTCGACTCTCAACCAAATTCTTGGCAACGTCCTTCCATGCGATGCTTTTTCCGTGAAGACCGAGGTCACTGGCGCCCTCAACTTCACCAGTGACTGTCACAGGTAGCAACTTGCTGTTTTCCTTCCTAATCACGCCACCAACAATGACCGTCTCCACGTCTCTCTCACTCGAATGCAGAACCACTGCCGCAATGGGGTCCTCTTCAGCAGCTGGAAGCATGGAGGGACTGTCAGTGCTAAACACCACTAGGTCTGCATTTGCACCGACGCGGATCTGGCCAACCTCGCCCGCCATGCCAATCGCCTTTGCACCGCCAATTGTAGCGAGGTTGAAGACTTGCTCTGCCGAAGGTCCGACATGGCGGCTCCACTTGCCCTGCCTTCGAAGATTCTCTTGTCGTTCGATACGGGCATACTGCAAGCCGAGCCGCATCTGGCTGGGCATAAAGCTGCTGCCACAGCTGTGGCAGTCAACTCCGAGGCTAGAGTGTGCTTCAAAGTCAGGCTGAAGGGCGACCGGCGGCCAGCCCATCTGAAGCTCTGTGTTAGGCGTGGCAGAGATGTAGACATCGTGCTTTTTGACAAGCTCTGCGTCGCCATCCTTTGGGAAGTTTGCGTGAGAGATGAGGATATCTGAGCCTAGCAGGTTGTGGTTGTTAAGGACTTGGAGGACAGAAGGTCCATTGCCAAAGGCTAGACCGGCGGCTCCGTGGGATGTAATGACCTTGGCATTTGCAGCGCGAAGCTCCGAGTAGAGGTGCTTCATGTGGTCGGGCGACTGATACATATTGTCCACCGCAAAACCAAGCTGAACTCGGCCATCTCCGTATGGACCTTTGATGGCTAGCGATTTCCAATTTTCGAGAACATGTGAAGACGTATAGTCATCTGCTGTAGAGAAGGGGCTCCAGCTGGTTGTTCTGGGAACGCAGTAGCAGTAGACTGCGCGAAGCCCAGAGGCCACGAGGGCTTGAATCATTGTCGGGGCTGGTTCGCAATGTTAGCATATTGCCAGGACTGTATAATCGGGCGAGGGGCTCACGGAAGTCTGGGCCGACATTCAGACTGGAGTGGTCCACAATGGTCGTGGTGCCGCCATCAATTGCTTCAAGTGCACCACCAAGTTCACCCCAGAATGCGTCTTCGGCAGAGAATAATGAGCCGATGAAGTTTCCTCGCGGTAGGTACTCGAGCAGCGTGTGGTCGACGTGACGACCTTTGAGCGCGGTTTGCCAGACGTGATGGTGTGTGCTAATGAAGCCGGGAGACACGATCTTGCCCTCACAGTCGACGACTTTGACACCATCGCCAGTTGTTTCGATGTGTTGGCTGATTTTCGAAATTGTGTCTCCTTTGATGAGAATGTCCAACCGTTGTGGTTTCACCTTGCCATCCTCTCCGTGAATGAGGAGCACGCCATTCTTCAACACAATTTTGGTTATCGACATAGTCATAGCCTTTATTCTAGACAAGGAGATATGCAGGGAATCAAACGTCGCTACCACATCGTCATGTTGGAGGAATCTTGTGGCTTTTATTGTTCATGCCACCGGCTATATGTGAGAATTAGTTACATGTTGTCAGAGCCCTCCCGGATAGGGGCTAGTAAGAGGTAGTAAGGAGTCCAAGCAACAAAGGAGCAGCTCAGATATATATACAGCGCAGGGAGTACACGTCGAGGGAGGAGCAGATTTCAGTAATTCATCATTCTACCCCTAACTGCAGTTGGCCTCTGAGAGCTTCCACCCTGCGTCAACATCCCAACTTGACACATGTACTCCGTAGCTATGGAGGCACGGGGTATCAGAAGTCCACTTCTATCGCGCCACGACGAGAAACCGAACTGAACGAGTAAGATACGCGTGCTTAGTACTAAATTTCGCGCTCTTGCTTGAAATTCATAAACGCGAAGGGCGACGAGAATTCCGGCTTCTTATTAAAAACCTATGATTCGGTCCCGGACATTTCGGAGGCCGGAAGTGGATGGAGTGGAGATAGGCCTAATGTCCGAACGAAACCGGTGCTAGACGCCACACAATGCTAAAGTACTGCTTGACAAGTAACTTCATGTTGTCACTTGTTCTTAGATACCTTACTGTATTTAATCGTGATGTGACAGATGCGTTTATTTATTTTAGGTTGTGGATGCTATCGATGCATGCCAGGGACAGCGGCCGCAGGGTGCAATGAGTCGAGCGGTGTTCAAATGAAGTCCTTGAGCTTTGATAATACAAAGTGGGCAGCATGCAAGCATCAAGTCCGGCATTCGAAGTATCAAGGAGACAATGCGGGAAAGATTCTGAAAGATTGAACTGCATGTCTTAGCCTTAAGCATTGGATATTGCCATCTACCTTCTAAAACAAAACACACAGCCAACGTCTTACTTTCGACATGCCAGCCACATTGCATGTCACTACAGTTCTCTTCCTCCTGACAGGGTTTGATTGCCTTTGGAAAGCCCTGAATTATTAACAACCCTACAAATGCCTCATGAATTAAGGAGTATTAGTGAGCCTTGAAAGAAGTGAGTCCGTCACATAGTCCTCGATCATTGGCAACCGGCGCGCTGTGACTGGATGACGAATTGTCCTGTCCAAATTAAGTCAATATAAATAGCTTTAACGATAGTTATAGAAAAGTAATAGTATTATTTAATATGATATGAAAAAAAATCACTGATCGCTTGGTTCGAATTGATGAATGCACTTAAGATTCACATCTCGAAGGGGGTCTCAATTTTAGTACCGCAGAAAGTACAGGTAATGATCGGGAAACATGATGGCTTTCAAGGTAGAATTCCAATTAAGACTCATGTATCAATTGCGCCAAGTTTCTTTGCACTAGAAACTCATATCACTCAGTTGCGAACTCTCAGTCTCATAATATGTGAGTTTGCCCTCTTTCTACAACACAATCTTAGCAGAGTGCACCACTGATTGTTCATTAGTGGCAACCCCTAGAGCAACTTGTAGTTAGTTCCATAATTGTGTACAATCTTTCTGCTGGATGCTTCCATGACAATGTTCGATGCACAGAAGTTTGCTTACTTTTGTCACTGCAGCTGGACTCCATGAATTCTTGATCAACTTAGTTAGATATGTGCAAGTTTGAACAACACAAGACCATGCGCGCGCGAGAAGCTCTCGAGATGAGCTCCTAGCGTCATATTTAAACATCGCAGTGCACTTCTGAGTGGGGTGATGGCCAATGAGCGCTCACCCCATGAATAAACGGGACTTTTGTCGGGGCAAGACGTCAGCTTGAACGTAAGCTTAGTAGCCTGCGATAGGACCACTCGGACTCTTTTTAGATGCACAGAAATCTTCTTCTAATAATACAAGCCTGTGGAAGTAATGTCGTTGGTCGGAAACATGTCCAGCTAACTTTCGAAAACTGTTTAGTCGCTCAATTGCGCAAACAATCAAGACTTGAGGAGTGCCCAGAGTGATTTCGTTCATGCCCAAGTATTTCGCACAGTCACCCTTGTCACGACTCCACGAACCCACACTGCTAGCCATCATGGTCACCGATGGTCTGGAAGGAGCCTACCGCTCTGAACGGCTTGTTTTTCGAGCCGTAGAAAATAACGACGAGGATAAGAAGTTCCTGCACACCCAAATCGAGAATGACCCAGTCACCGTCGCCCTTTCCAACCCGATGGCGCTGATGCCGAGGACCAGCAAGCACAGCGAGTGGATGGTGGAGCAAATGGCCAAATCTGTCCTCGCTGTCATGGTCTGCCTACCGGCGGATACTGTGGGCGGGGACGACGAGAAAGTTGACGAAGCGAAGACAACTGCGCCAAAGCCCATAGGATACCTAGCAATCGGCTGGGGTGGCATCCCTCCGGCAATGGTCCATCATCGCTCGGTTGGCCTCGGTATCGCGATAGCACCGCAGTACCAAGGAAGTGGCTACGGGGCCGAAGTCATCAATTGGGCTCTAGACTGGGCTTTCCGGTATGGGAATTATCATCGGGTTCACCTTGGCACTGTCTCCTATAATGAGCGAGCGCAGCACTTGTACAAGAAGCTTGGTTTCGTGGAAGAGGGCCGCAGCCGCGAGTCTTATTGGTTCAATCGACAATGGCATGACATGATAAGCTACGGAATTCTAGAAAGTGAATGGGAGGCTATGAGAGGCATTAGGTCTGGATAGGCACACTTTATCTGTAGGTATTCAAGCTTTTCACTTGGAAAGAGAGTAGCTCGCAATGGTCTCCTCCCTCGAGACTGCTGAGCTCCTTGAGTTTCAAGCCGAGATTTTCTCTCGTTCTAAGTGCTGGTTAAGAGAATTTTCTGTGGGATGGTCATCAAAGCAGCACGGCCTAGCGGAACCAGTATGTTCTGGAAATCGAATAGAGGAGTTGGAGAAAAACTAAGGACGGATGTAGTGACGCCATCTAACAGTTGATGGGATACCGAGCTTCTTTATAATCTAGTCCTAGGGCTTACAGGTTCTCACTGTGACTGTATTTCCGACTCCTATTTCCAGGCATCGTCGTGGTATGGTTGCCTGCGTCTATCAACCCAAAGAGCAGCCTTTTATCAAGAGGTGGATCTATCAGGCGCTACATCCATTTTAAGCAGGTTATACATTTCCACGTAATCAAATTCTTTCGCCGTGTCTGCTGGCGTGTCGTCCCAGTACTTGACGCTGGGGTCTGCCCCCGCACTCAAGAGAAGCTGAGCGATGTCAAGTCTATTAGTACGAGCAACAACATGTAGAGGCGCTCCTTGCTAGATCTTGTAGCCTGTTTTGATATTGCGAACATAGCTGAGGTCAGCCCCCTTGTCGACCAGAAATTTAATCATTTCCATGCTTGCACCCGTGCAACCTATAGCAGACTTAAGTATATCTCGTGGCAGTCTGGCGCTATGGTCAAGCAGGAGTTGACAGGGTCGCAGCGATGGCTGGATTACAGCCGAGTGAAGCGCTGTCTTTCCTCTCGAACCTTTGACATTGGGGTCTGCTCCGTGATGTAACAGAACCTCCATCCACTCAATGTGTCCAACAGATAGCCTGTTCGGAAAATGAGTAATCAGTTCCTCGAAAACTAGTGCAATGGTCGGTACAAACGTGAGCAACGACGCGCCAGGCTCAACTGTGTTGATTTCAAACCCTCTCTTGAGGATTTCCTTCAATATTGTTTTGTCGCGACCTCTATAGACCGCCATGACAACTGAATCGGTGACACTAGCTCCGTTGTCGAGTAATAAGGCGACAAGAGAGGCGTGATTTCCGCATGCTGCCTCGTAAACGGCGCGCTTCATCAAAGTGTCAGGATACATATGACGTTTCTGCTGCGCCTCGAATTCATTGTAATCCTGCATAATGCTTTGGACTAGTGATAAGTCGCCTTTCCTGCATGCTTCAACGAAGCTATGTGTGGAAGTGTCCGCCATTCCCGTCTCTGGGCGGCGAATTGCCCACAGGTCGTATGTGGGGGAAATAGAAAGTTGGGTTGGGGGTAGTTGTTAATATAGTACCAACCTGATGTTGGAAAACAAAAAGTGATGGCACCAACCACGTATTTGTACCCCAAACAAGCCACCGGCCCGTTGGCCTCGGCTCAGACAATGGGGGCAATGTTTGGCAATTCCTGAATCCGTTGGACCCCGAAGCTGGGCAATCTATCTCTCCATTCGAATTGGCTGCTTGAAAAGATACTTGAGGTTTGCAGATCCATTCAGTCCGAGGGCCACTGCTATTGTTGATGCAACCAACTCAATACAGCCAACTACATCTCACTTGCCAGACCAACACAACCTCTGCGCTTCTGCGCCCCTGGAGGAGCTTTAAAGGGCCAAAAGAGAATTCACACAATTGCATATCTACCTAACCTGCACCCAAAAGCACCAAGCAATCTAGTAGAAGTAAGTTTCCAACGCTCGCCCCCAACAGGCATTGGTATGCAGAGGCACCATTAAAAGAGTGGCAAATGTATTGGCCCTCGATTGGCCATCGCTCAAACTCTGTGGACAAGATCAACTAAAATAGCACTATGCGAATTTGAAGTCTTGACCCGCAATTCGCAACCCCCGACGATAGCCCCTAGTGTCATGATAACAATTGTGTAGATCATATCGAGCTACATCATCATCATCATTCTTGGGAATTTCAGGGCAGCCCCAATGCGCTGATACGATGATGGTCTCGGGACGCTCTCAGGCTCGATTCTTGTCGTCACGCAGATTGGCCTGGAAGTCTCAGGTCGGATCCAACAGCCCAAGAGCAGCTTGAAGCTGTGACTGTTCGAAAGAAGTGCTTCTGAAATCAGTTCCGATTAAATTCGTTCAATTCAAGATAGTGAAACATGTGGGAGGGTATAAGTATCAACTTTTCCGTCTCCCTAAAGTCTAGAATTCACTCCAGTCAATGAAGATCGACCATCAGAATCTAATAACACCGTCAGAAAGCCTCCTTCTCCACAACCCCACCGCAAGCAATAGCTGTCTTATGTTGGTTCTTTCCAATAATATCTTCATGATGGACTCTGCAGTCCTCCGTTGTGTTTTCACTTGCGTCGTTGCAACAGTCTTGGTTCTAGGCCAGGAGGGAAAGGTCTTAGATCTTGAATTTCTCAGACAATAGACAATATCAACGAAGTGTGAATAACAATGTTGTCACCTGGTCCAATTTACAAAGTTGATACATTGTCTCTTCAAAGGGAAAACTTCCAGATTTCAGTAATCAATTAATCTTCTGGTAAAGAGGTAGTTAGGTACGTTTTGAAATTCAATCACTAAATTTGGGCGCATAGTCTAGTTAGCAGGTAATGTGCTATGCTAGTTGCCACTTTTGCGCTCTTGACGGTCGAAATCTTCACGTCGACACCATCGTGAAAGGTTTTGCCTCTATCTAAAAGTCATTTTCTTCGCTTCCCCGATGGAGATGAACTTCTTTGTGCTTTCTAGGCCCAACAACTAGCATTTTGTTCTCTGGCTAGTCCCGCTGAAAGTCGGCCTGACCGAGCCAGTGGGGGCTTTAGGTCCCTTCCCAAGCCCAATACAATCGAACACTCGTTTATGAATACTCGTTTATATGGCCTTGTCTGCTGAGTGGATTACACCTGACTCGTGATGACTAAGTCACAAACTTTTTTAGATTATAGTGCTCTCCTTTTCTGGGGATTGCACTATGAGATATAATGAGCAGACGATCATATCCTCCCTAAGTCGATACGATAACGAAGATCTCGAGTCAGCGTACAGGAACCACAACATCTTGACACGGCAGGCTCTTGAAGACTGGACATTAAAGTGTGGCATGGCCCAACACGAAGTGTTTTTTCGATTTTGGCGACACTGATCTATCTATTTTCTTCCTCACTATCCCCGCGCCGCCTGCCTCATAACCAACACATGAAGATATCACTAGCGTTTTCATCATGGTAAACTGGGGTACTTTAATTTTGGCCGCTATGGTTGCCGGCTCCGTAGCCAAAGACTGTGCCTTTTTCTACGACTCCACTGTCTCGGATCCCTTCATGGCTTCTATTCCTGCTTCTAACGCACAGTGGTACTGCAAAAACGACATTGGCGGTACAATGGAAGACAAGAGTTGTTGGTATCCCTATCACAGAGAAGTTGGTTCGAACCGTAGGGTCCTGGGGGTGACGAAGTATCAATATCTCTGTATTGATTGATTCTGCGTAAGGAGTAGAAAGGAGATTCCAACCGGAGGTTGGGTGGACCGTCGAGGTGTAATTGTACCCTCTCGAGGTGGCCCCTGCTCTACCCTTACTCACGGTCGAATTCGGCTTCCAATCCGACAGAGTCGAATATCTCCAACTCGGCAACCAACCCGAACTTTAGGTGCGGCATTTGTTGAGGAGCTAGGAGTTCGACTAAGAACTACGACATCCCTGATAAGATTGGCAACTACGCAACGAGATGCGGGTATTATGCTCCCGGCAAGTGCACAGCGAACTAGAAGCCAAAGGTGAGCTCAGAAGTTCTGGTTTCCCTGAACCTAGCCCCATTTCTTCTTCTTTTTTCTTCTCTCTAACAACTCTTTAGTCGGCGCATCAATGGCCTCGAAAACACATGATGGGACTTGGAATCATGTATACTTTAGAATGAATCTGAATACAAACAGAAGTTTTGTTAAAAAGCGTGCTTCTGCGATCAGGCCTACCAGTTTCAACGTCTAGAGGTGGCAATACCATGGAGAGACCTATAGCTTCGGGTTCGATCACGACACCTAGGCCAACGCTTATAAAGTCCATAACCCATCAATTGCTAAATAGCGTCACTAGAACCGTCTCCAGTCTTTCTCTAAGTTCGCCCTATTTCGAGAATATTTATAGTTAGATATAAGGGAAATAGAGCAAAATCAGAGAAATTCTAGAGACAGATATAGTGATGCCATCTAGCAGTTCATGGGATACAGCGCACACACCAGAATAATTATTGATGCTTTACCCGAAGGCACTCACTCGGCTTCGTTGCTTGTGTGGTAGTTTGTGTGTTCCCATCAACTGACATCACGTAGAAGAAGGTGTTGCAGGTGGCTGATGTGATGCCGACATCAATTTATTCTCACAATGCTGTGGCGACGTTCGTGACCACATGCAGATTATGATCGTTAATTCAAGCTATTATTCTATAAGGTCAGACTTGTATCCAGTCCTGAGGTATTCTCAAAAAAGCATGTAGGCAAGTCCGGTGCTATTCTTTGGCACTCGCTTACTGCATGCCAATAAAAGTAAACAACGTCAAATAGTCGGGCAAACATGTACGCCATATCAGAGGGACTTGTCATTTCATCGACTCTGTTACCCCTCATATGTCTATCTTACCGCCAAAATCCTCTACCAGACACCTATGGCTTATGTTGGTATGCTTTTGCCAAGCTGGTTCGGCACGCCGCACGGCATCACAGGTACTAGTGGAGTTCCCATGCTGTCAGTCAGAATCTCATGCAATGTGACGCAATCTAATGCATCGATGTTCTTCTAAGGTAGGCTAGAAATCGCAGCATATGAGACATGACTGCTTACCTTAGTTCGCCCCGCTGCCTCGTTGCCTGCTGGTATAGCCTATGCCTCGGATCAAGTCAAATTCAATGATTCCGCGCCGGCTTCTACGTCAGATGTACCGTCAAACATCTCAGCCCTTCTTATCCGAATCATTGGTTCCTGGCGATGCGGGGCTGTGATCAAGAATTCCAACTCATCCAAATCTCACAATCTTTCATCATGAAGCTTCTCAATTGCATTGAAGAGATGCACCCTGCGAGAAAGCAGGAACTGGAAAGAGAGGGGATCTCGACATCCTACGCTATTCTTTCTCACAAATGGGAAAAGGACGAGGATGAGGTCACCTTCGAAGACATGGGCAGTGCGGAAATAAGGTCCAAGAAAGTACTAGGGTGGTCGAAGATTCTGAAAACTTGCGACGAGGCACTCGAGAGAGGGATCCGGTACGCCTTGATAGACACGTGCTGCATCGACAAGCGAAACCTCACTGAGCTCACTGAATCAATTAACTCAATGTTTAAGTGGCATGCAGAGGCGGAAATCTGCTTTGCATATCTCTCAGATGTCAATCCAGGGGGTGATTTGGCGGAATCAGCGTGGTTTACGAGGGCCTGGACCCTGCAGGAGCTTATCGCTCCGGGCAAGATGAAATTCTACGACAAGAGTTGGAATATGATCGACAGCCGCATCAACCTTGCACGAGAAATCCACGTGCGAACAACGATCAACAACGAAGTTTTGAGACATTCCTCGTCGACACAACAAAGCATACAGAGTCTCCTGGCTGGTATCCCCGTGGGTCGGCGCATGTCATGGGCCGCTGGCCGTGAGGCCAAGAAAGTCGAAGACCGTGCCTACTCACTATTGGGAATATTCGGAGTGAGCATGCCTTTGCTTTACGGAGAGGGCGACCAAGCATTCATTCGGTTGCAAGAAGAAATCATCAAGGCTACCAATGACATGTCGCTATTTGCTTGGTGCGACTCTCGCGTCACTTCCCCTGAAGGCTCGGAGGAGCTTCGCGGTATCCTTACCCACACACCAGATGATTTCAGTAGTTGTCGCAATCTGGACTCTATCAGTAACCCCCGACGTGGTCCAGAGGTATGCATATGACCAAAATCCCCACCAGGACAGAAATAGACCCCAGAGACTGATGCACTTCACCTCTTCTAGTTTTCGATGACAAATAAGGGTCTTCGACTAGAAACTAGGATCTTTACCCATGGCAGTGGCACATTCTTCCTAAGCCTAGGTTGCCCAAAGGATGCTGAGTCCAAGCAGAATTTCCTAGGAATTCTACTTTACCGACTTCACAGTGGAATCTTCGTCAGAACAAGCCCACACAGGCTTTTTCTCAAAAATCCATTTTCGAAGAATCGCCTACTCGAGAAGGATTTTTTTTTCATTTGCAAACAATTTACTCCTGACTTGTTGGAGGAACCCGGTCAGGCTCCCGGACGTGACTTCAGGATTTGGATTGGAGAGAACAGTAAAATAGCAGTGGACAACGCCTCTCCCAAGCGGCACTGGAGTCCACACACACAAACATTTCGCAGTCGAGATTTCTGGGATTTTGAAGGGCGTGTAGAAATCGGATCCTCTTCGGAGGTCACGTTCAGCGTTACCTGCGGATTTGACACGCAGTATGGCACTTGGGTATACCCAGAGCGAGCCTCCCCACCTTGGAAACCGTGTGGCGACGGCCTCCAGGCTGGCATGCCCCCGGGAATCGATATCAACGTGGTGGACGGAATGTAAGATGGTATTCCAGTCACGATTATTCATCTGAATCGGCTCAAGAAGCCTGCTCCAAATCCAAAGCCGATCCCCTTCCAAAAAATGTCTAGCAGGCTGATGATGAAGGGGGAAATTGTGTGACTGAGGCCTCTGAGAAACGAAACCCAAACTGCAAGCAGATGTAGGATGCATGGATTTCGGTTGTTACTGTTTTGTTTTCGCTGATTGATTGTTCCCTTGATGAATCTAAATCGCATTGCTCCGAAAGACAGACAAACCACGAATTACGTACGTCATGCATATGATTTTCACCAACTCTGCGCGAGCAATCTTCATAATTCAGAAAGCCATGTCCAAGGTAATGTGAGCAAACCTCGTTTTTTTGTTGAATTTTTGATGAAGTAGTAAACATGCAGTAGGATACTATGTGTGTCGAAAAATGTGCGAAACATCCATTCCATTCAATGGAAAGAAGCTCCAGGCTTTTTAAACCTCCCATTCCCACCCCTCTTGATGCGTATTTGGTATAAAATGTGATCCCCGCAATCCTTTTCCAGCCTTCCCCCGTTTAATCAAAACACTTGAAACCATACCAGATGACCTTAGATAAGAAGTCCACCGACAACACCGGCGGCAGCCATACCTAAGCTGAGCAGACCCCAGCGAACATCGCCACGGGCCTCGATACCAGCGCTGGGCTGCGACGAGGACGAGGCAGAGGGAGTGCTCGAAGCAGAGCTAGGGCTGCCGGTGGCCGCGGAGCCGAGAGTGCCGCCGCCGGTTGCGCTGGGAGCGACGTTAGACTGCGCGGCGGCGGCGGCCTGGGCGTATTGCTCAATGGTTCTTGCGCCGCTGGCACTATAGATATCGTTAGCAAATTTGATTTGCTACCTCTGAACAGAGACGAAAACTTACGGAGCGTTGATAACACCAACCATACCACCCTGGCAATGCTGCCCAGTAGCACAGTAAAACCACTTGGGATTCGTATCCTTAACCTCAACCGTGAAAACCTCTGACCCGACACCAGACGCAACCTGCACCGGACCGCTGAAGAAGCCCGTCGTGGATCCGTTGGTGAGCGGCTGGCATGGCGAGTCAAAGGCGGACTGGGCGACGGAGTGGGCGCGCGGGTAGAAGTGGAACTCGACGACTTCGCCGACGGCGGCGGTGATGGTGTTGGGCTCAAAGGTGAGGCCGCCGTCGCCGACCTTGACGACGTGGACCCCGGCGATGCTGGTTGTGGAGGAAGAGGATGCCGCGGCGGCGGAGGCGGTGTTTGTGGAGGATTCTTGGGCGCCGTAGCCGTATTGGGCGAGGGCTCCTGCGGCGGGGAGGAGAGATGCGAGGAGGGTTGATGTATGCATTTTTGATGGTGTTGCGAGGTTGTGAGGTTGATTAGATGGTGTTGAGTTGAGTGGTTAATGCGTGTTGCTATATTACTGGAAGACTTTATTGGTTTGATGAAGAGTAAAAATTAACTTTCACGGAAGGGAAGACGTCTTCTTATACACGTAGATCCTCTCGCAGCCTTCACCTGGAGATGCCCAAGAAACAACACTAAACACGACCCTCACGGTTTCCACCCCTTGGAACATCCCAAGCCTCCATCCTCAAGCCTATACCCCTCCACCTCCCCCAGGCACCATCCAACGTTTGATTCCATCACCCTCAAGCCTTGGTCCCAAAACCTCGTGGCGGCGGCCTCCTTCACCGAGTCCGTCTCGGAAGCAAATTGACCCTTGGGCACCAGACCCCACCTCGACCTACCTACCAAGACCAGAAGAAACAAAACTCGGCTAGGTGGTAGTCTCTTGGTAGTCCAAGGTAATCAGAAATCAGCACCGCCTCGCGGATAGGATAGTTTCCATGGTGGCATGGTCTCCATCTCAAAACCCGCGCCCCAGCCGGCCGGGTGTATCTGACATCCGAGGTGGCAGCAGTCAGGGCCCAGCGCCCAGGGCCAGGGATCAGGGGAGTGATGTGGGAACAAACAAGAACAAGCGTGCAGGCCAAGCATTTCCTGACGCACGTTGATCCTGGGGGAGATAAGTGGGTAAGGGAGGGAGGGAAAGAAGCAGAGGTCCCTCGTCTGAATGCAAATAAGTCTATTTCGAGTCCAAGCTTTTTTGGTCGTCCTCGTTGGGCGTGACAAAAGCGACATTACCAAAGCACACCAACGGCTTGGGTCTACTAGAGTTGGCCCTAGACCGAATCCAACCCGAATTAGCACGAGAGGATGGGGCCCTCGAGGAGACGGACAACGACGCCTCCAAGTTTAGCATGACAAGCCAACGAGGCCTGCCACGGATTGGATGACAGCAAGTCTCAGTGCGTGCTCTACTGTAAGCCTGCAGTCAAAATGTCCGTCTGCTGGGATCCAACACAGCCGCTGTGCATGTCCCGACCTTCCCGCGCCAATGTTCGGATCACGTTTCGAATTGTCGTGGCCTTGTGTAAGTGCCAGGGGAAGACTATTGACAGACCTACGGATACACACAGCAACAACAACATTGTACCTTTTCTAGCCCCCATAAGTAGCCGCTAGAGCCGTGTTCCGTCTGCGAAAGGTCAGCCAGTAAGCAGCCCCCTCGACCGAACCAACCAGTTGGGGTCTCCAACCAAGCCAGAACAGAAACAGTGGCCAAACCTCTTTCATCCCAAACAGAAACAGGGGGATCATGGATGGGCTCATGGAGGGGGAGGGTTGTCGTCCAAGGATTACCGGCAGGTACGGCAAGCTTAATCCCCTTTCACTTTCTCCCCCAACTCCAAGTCTACACGGAGTGTCCAATTCTACAAAGTCCCCTCTGGTCACAGACTAGCTCATTACGAAGTACCTAGTGGCCTCCCCAGAACAACGTTTGGCGTTTCTCGCTTCGAGTGCCGAGCGTTCCATTCCCAGAGTTGGGGTGGCAGCACAACCCTGTCGGGGTGACTATCCGGGGTGCTGATTGGACCGGGGCCCGTCTGACGCTCTTTTGACGCCGCAAAAGTTTAAAACGTCTTGAGCTTGAAGATGCCGCTTGTTCCAGCCCTTCACTCTCCCCCTCCTTGATCCTCATCCAGGGGCTAACTAACCATTAGGGATTTGGAGAGACGACTTGGCTGCTGTAGTAGGGTGAAAGATGAACAGAGAAGAGGGTAAACAATGTTGAGATCAAGTTGTATCCGTAATTTTCCATCAAGTGACAATGATTCCCAAAACCCGCCATGCTACTCCGTCCAATCCAGTCTCCATGACCCGAAAACGACCAAACCTACGCCCCTGTTTAGAGCCAACCTATGTCAACATTCCCCACGCCGTTATTCCCAGCTGGGGAGGTCAAAAGAAGACTCATCCCATCCCAAGCACCAAAAATAAGGTTCCCCTAGTGAGGAATCTGCAGGCGGGTCAACAAAACTCCCATTTCCTCCGCATTTCTTCTGCACCACAGCCACCCTCGCCTAGCACCCGAGCCGGCAACCGGGATACCTCACTCCCCCAAGCGCTTGCGCTTGTGCCTCGTACTCGCAGTGAATGCAGTAAAAATGACCGCCAAGTGACGATAATGGGGGCTTCGCTCATTTCGTACCACAAGTCCTCGGCTGAACTGAACCATCGCACCGGAGCCGGTCACGGAGATTCAATCGCTTCGAAAGGTTGTCATTGCTCACACGATCTACCCTGTCCTGGTGCGCTTTTCAACTGAAATGGTAGAAATTGGTAATTGGATCTGCCCTATTCAAGCCTTATTTGACAGAATGCCACGCCTTATTACAAACCATGATTGATGTCCGACGCCAATATTTCCCTGACTCGTATCCCAAGTTGCCAACTACCAGTAATCTTGATACCCGAAATCGAAACAATACAAGTTCGTGACAGCCATAACATGTACAAACTCAATTCAATAAAACACACAGCGCAGGGTCCCTGCCACTGCCAGAATCATCAGATGAAAGCTCTTCACTCTTCATCGCTCGAGCTGGACGAGGCTGCTGCTGCCGCTGCTGAGGCATCATCGGCTGCCTTCTTCTCCTTCTTGTTCTTCTTGCCCTTCTTCTTGTTCTTCTTCTTGCTCGAGGAGCTCTCCGCTGGCTCTCCGAGATCAATCAAGTCGGTCGAAGCTTGACCGTTACCGGCATTTCCAGCCGAAACAGCCTTGGAGATTTCGACCAGCATCTTCTTGAGCTCTTCAACCTCGCTTCGCAACTGCTGGACCTCGTAGATCGTAGGGTCGTGCTCCAGGTTGGTCTTTGCGCTAGCGCAGACTTTATTCCATCCATCAGATTCGAAGTCGACCTGGTCCATCATCTGCTCCCACTCCTCGATCGTGTCGTCGTCTTCCTCGCCCCTCGCTCGGTTGCTCCTAATGTCGGCGGCTGAGCGAGTCTCAAAGATTGCGGCAACGACAAGCACCGGCGAGTAGAGGATTCCCATGATGACATCGCTCATCTTCTCGAACTTGGATTTCTCCATCCACCAGAAGAGGGAAATGACAATCATCTCGATGAGGTTGAACGGCGGGATGTAGACGTTTTCATCGGGGGCACGAACGAACTGCATCGTCTTTTGGGCAAACAGCGCGAGGTACTCGTCGTTGGCGTTGTCGTAGATGTCTTCGTATGCGGAGTTGTACAGGGCAATGAGGATGTTGAGCAAGACAACCTGCGACCTGGATTAGCAACTCACACCAAGCTCTCATGGAACCATGACTTACCATGACAATGAACGTGAAGCAATAGTACAGAATGATACCAAACGGAGGCGAGAACCTGTCGAATCCGTCAAAGTCGGGGCTCTGCATAATGGCATTGGCCATAGCTGACATGATGAATGTTATATCATCAGCCACCAAGTCGTCTGCCAAATCGAGACCAATAAAAGCCTGGAGAAAACCAATGATCAAAACGGCAAGCAGGGCGAAGAAGATGATTGACTCCTTCATCATGACCTTTAGGACGACGAGCATGGCTCCAAAGAAGCGGAAGCTGTCAAGGTAAAGCAACAGGCGAGACCAAATCATGGGTGCGCTGAAAGCCAAGAAGTTGTAGCTCAGTTCGCTGTACATTTTCCGCGCGGGTTCGCCCTCGTCGTGGGTTAGGCCGATGATGCGAAGAACCAAGGACAGAGTAATGAAGGTGTAGAGAACGCCATTGAAAGCGTTCCAGAAGCCCAAGATGTGGTAGCCGGCCTTCCAGAACTTTGTAATCTCTTCGCAGATGAAGCCAAGGGTGAAGATGTACAACAACACCTCGGCCGCATCCAAGACACCCTTGGCGTTCACCGAGTTGATGACGGCAGTGTAGAGACCAATGTAGACGAGAGAGATGAGCACCTGAGTGGCATTCTGGTACATGGGAGCGCGGATGCGGTCGGGGTCCATGTGCACGAGGAATGATGGGTTTGTCTTGTCCTTGTAGTCGACGAATACTGCTGGGTCGTTTTCGTCCTGAACCAGCCATCCCTTCCACAGGTAGGAAATGCATTTTTGGTATCCCGAGGAGCCAATGACCCTGACAGCGTGGAGATCGACGGCCTTCTCGACGGCGTTCGCGGGTGGCGTGGCTTCACCGTCGACGACAACAGAGTATCGGCGGAGGAGGACGGAGTGCATGAGGTATTGGAGATCATCTTCGGTTTCGATGCTGTATATACAGTGGTCAGTCTCCATTGTGTCTGCTCTTGGACGGTTGCGGTACTTACATCTGCTTCGCAATGACCTCACAAGCGATGGCGCGCACTTTGTGAAGATCAGCGTCCCAGAGCTCAGCTAAGGCCTGGTGCTTGAACCATCTTTTGCAGACGATCAAGCAGAAGACTACACATGATCCATAGTGCGAGCCGCCAGCTTCCTTGGCGGCCTTGATGACCTTGGTCGTGATGATCTTGCTATGCGCTTTTGTAATCTCGTCTTCGTCCAATTCGCATGGGACCGCCAGCTCGATCAGGTGTCGAAGCTTGAGGGCAATCTTTGTGACTTCGGGAGCGGGTATCGCGGACTCGAGGTGCTCGCTTCGGTATTGGGGAAGGACTAGATCAGAGCAGCAAGCCCAGGTGTAAGCCGTTGAAACCGATTGAGGGGGTTCCATGACGTGCCAGAAAACGCCGCGGCTCGATTTTCCACTGATATTCCACAGGAAGAGGGGAGCGATTAGGAGGAGTACATACGGCGTCTTCGGTCATCGCGGATCCAGTCCGAGTGGAAGTCGTGATGGCGTGGGTGCCTATCCCAGCCCAGCATGCGGGACACCCAGTTGAAATTGGCCATGACGACCGCGATTGCTTCGTTCTCGGGAGTCTTTCCGGTGTGACGCTCTGTCCCCTTTGAATGGACGGTCGATCGACGGCAGGAACCGGCGGTCGGATCGTGGGAGCAAGAATCGATTTGGAGGAGCGAATTGACAGGAGCTCAGGGGAGATGACTTCCTGGACGCTGGCAATTGATCAAAGGACAAAGGAATCAAGAAGCAGGAAAGAAATCCCAGATTCGGCTCCTGGCTCTAAGGAGATACGGCAGCAGCCGTCGCATTCTCGTCTCCTCTCCGCGCGGCCGGGTTCCCTGTTTTCGTTGTTGGCGCCAGAGAGAAGGTCCGACCAGGAGCTTGTCCTCTTCCTGCCGCAGGTGACGTCGACCGACAGCGGGGCATTCCCTGTGCACGACCGGGGTGTCTGATGGATCCTTAACAGTTCGCCGCCTTTGGTGGTGGTGGATGAGATAATCAGCGACATTGAAGCTCCGATCTACGCTAGACCGTGTTTGGTCGTCCCCACATCGTTGGCGTAAGAAACTTGGCTGCGCTGCCACGCTTCACCAGCTGAATGCTGCCGCCGTCACTCACACACCACCAGTCTCAGTCTCGGACCTTTTTTTTTTATTCTTTTTTTTTTTTTTTTTTTTTTTTTTTTTTTCACTTGAGTCTCCAATTTCATGCTGAATTCCTCTAGTTCAAATTAAGGTAGCCCTTAGCTCAGCCTCAAAGAATCCTGGCGGCATGTCACTTCACACTCGATCTTTTCGCGAACCTCTCAAACGAAGAAAACAGCCGAGAATCTTCACTGTCAGCTTGTTGTGAGCGACGGCCCAGGATAGCATGACTGCACGAGTGACCAACCTCATCAATTTCATTCGTTTTTGGTTAAGTTCATGTTTCATTTACAGTCTCCAAACAAGACCATCCCAACGCTGATGATGTCTCACTCTCACCCCGTCATCGTCCTCATTCAAGACACCACGCCATTCATCAATCCACTTGACTGACCACAAAGGGCCTCCTATCCTTACATTGGCTTGCTCTCGGATTCCTCTATCACCATCGTTATTGTCATCCTCTTCATCTCCCTCACTCATGAATGAAGGAACTGGTGATAAGACGGGCGAAGTGAGAGATGCCTGCCCTTCACATCACCCACATGCTGGCCGTCTCATCGCTCAGCCTCAGCCCCTCGTGAATGACTGAGGTATGCCCATTTCCCTCATCTGGCCAGACTTGGACGTGAGTCCCGCCGAATCTCTCGCTGCTGATGATACCCTCAAATCCTCCATCACGCCGTCGCCCCCGTCGTCTCTTTCCACAAATCAATCACCATCGTCGCAATATTCTGAATAGCCTCCGGCGCGTTCGGCAGATGATGGCCCCCCGGATACCTCACAACCTTGCGCGTACTCCGCTCGGAACACTGCTCAATCAACATCTCGCTCGCCGGCTTCCACGGATCAAACAAGCCCACCACATGAACAGTCGGCAAACGAATCAGCACATCGTCAGGCACGAAAGGTGGATATGTTCCGCACAAAAACACCCCAAAGAAGTTGTACGGCACGAACGGCTGCCGCTGCTGCTCAATCAACAGACTCGACGCCGCCCGCGCGCCCTGCGAGAACCCCAGCACGCCGACATAGGGTCCCGTCTGCTGCACGTACACCTTGAGCATCCCCATCGCCGTGTCCTTTTGCTGCTGGAACTCCTCGGCGGGTATGGAGGGATCGTCGCTGACCCATCGTCGGTACGGCCCGCACCCTTCGAACACGGGGAGCACGCCCGGCCCGGCCTCCGTCTCGATCGGCCCGTCGAGGTAGACGAATTCGAAGCGCGGTTCGAGGACGCGCGATAGCCTGATGAGTTGGATCTGGAAGATGCCTGCTGAGGAGCCGCCGCCGTGCAGACATAGGATCTTTGGCCGTTCCCGCGGCGCCTCGTTGACTGCGTAGGGCTGGTACATGGTCTGACTCTGCCCGTGTTGCTGGCGCGCCAAAGAAAAGACCCGAGAAGGGAGGTAGGGAAAGGTGTGCGGCGGGTAGACTTGTCCCCGGCAAACAGGCGAGGTAGCGAGCGACAGATACGGCCTTGCGTTGAGACTGTGAAACGACGTGAAGGATCTTTCTTCCAGAGACCTCACACAGGGTGCGTGGTGCGACTGAAGTGACAAGGCAGTAAATGTGACGGGGATGCAGGTGAGATGAGAAAGAAAGTGGATCATATGCTCCCCTCCAGCCTCCAGTTCCCAGGCCCCCCACGGCCCCCAAAGCTCTCGGCCGTTTCGGGCTTCTGCCATCTTGAACCTCCGACGCCACGCCCGGTCCCTGGTCTCATCTTTCCACCTCCGCCTTATGTAAGCAAACCAAACTCACATCTACCGTCCGACCAACGAATCCGACTCTGGGAACTCTATCAGGCAGCATCAGAATGACACGGAAACGTTCTAGTCTGGCTCGGGTAGTTGGCGTGTAACCTTAAGATATGCACTGTTGGAGTACAGTTCAACACGCCCGGTTCGGATCCGGCTTATCCGTATGTTCAATACGTAACCTTGGAGCTGTCGATGTGGCGATGTGGTGATCTAAGTCAAATTTCTTGGTGATTAGGAAACGTGACTACCTTACGTTACTACACGGCCAAATAGGCGATGGAATATTTTACTACTCAACTGCCTTACTGCCTTACATACATGTATTTACGTGTATTCCTAGCTTCCTACTGCTAATCTTTCTTATCTTGTAGTTCACCCTGCACTATGTGAATATTTCCTGGATGATGTTCTATAAAAGTGATTAGTATACAGTAATAATGATTGTGAAAGGAGTTCTTGTAAGAGTGGCAGGAATCATACACTGCATTGAAAAATTAAGTTACTACCTTCTCTGAAATATACTTTATTCAACATTAACAGTACAAAAATTGAATAAGACGTACTTTTAAATGGACCTATGATCGATACTAAGGATATATACTTAGTAGGCATTTGTAACTAACTCTTCCAAACATCAATATCCAAAGCCCTCGCTCCTTCCCTTGGGAATAAGGTCTTATATACCCCCTCAACTCCGTTCCAGCCACCAGCCAGGAGGCGCCCGTCCAGGTCGGTGAGTCAGGTCAAACTGGCTGGGTGGTGGAGTGGTTTATGGTCAGCAATCAAAACGCCCACAGCTTACTCGACGACAGGCTCCGAGTACCCAAGTTCGAATCCCAGCATGAGCACCAAGAGATGTAGCCACACCGGTGGTGAACTCTTTCTTTCATGTCGCTTAGACGACGATGCCTCTATTGGGACTTGTTAAAATACATGTGGAATTCCATCCAGTTGGTTTACTCGCTGCCCTTTCTCTCGCCTGTCAATAATTCTACTACCACTTTTTTACTTGTGGAAACAGCCGAAGCTTGGAGCACAGAACCTCCGGCTCAAGGTCTTCTACTTCGCAACTAAATTGGAGCCCACGTCGACGTGCTGCATGCTCCCAAGGTCTGATAGCCCACACACCAATCTCTAGATCCCATGTCGCTGCAATAAAGAGCTTTGCGGTGTTATCCTCCCGAATTTCATACCGGAAGAAAAATCCCACCACGTTCCCTGGAGAATAAACTTCCATCATCTTTAGTTTGGGCATGCGTGAGGCCGCCGTGCCTGCTGAGATAATCAAGCTGTCTACCTCGGAATCGTTGTATAAAAGTCGATTAATAGGTGCTGTAAGGGCCAAATGAGTGAGATCTGGCCAATGTCTTGAGAGGTTTGGTTCATCTTCCTGGGAATCAAAATCTGTACCATGCATGTGATCTCGGAAGAAGTATGCGGCGTTGATGGTGCCAAGCATTGCGACGCGTCGAAGTCGGTAACTTGCCCTCACAGTGGCAGAGACAACATCGTGGTTGACCGACCTGTCTTGCCAGCCCTCTGTAGGAAATGCCTTGGATTTTGCTTTCAAAAAGACTAATATTTGGATCTTGGGGTTGTTGACGACCGCTTTGAGGATTCTTTCATTGGCCGCATCGCGTGTCGCGTGCCCGTTTTGATCAACCGCAGGCCAGTAACAATATCTGAAGTTTCGTAGACGAGGCATGCTAGTGAGTATCTTTTCCATAGACTCTCCTGAAAAGCTTCGATAGTATTGCGGGTCCATGGTGAATCCCCGGATAATCGGAACTTCAGGTAACTCGCGAGCTTGGAAATCGGGGTCTAATAGGTTGCCTAGAAGACGCTTTTTGGCATTCGAAATCCAGTCCCCTCGCGGTTGGTAACGAAGAGTGTATCGATAAAAGTCGTGGTAAGGGTGATGGCTGTCGGCTTTCGAGCCAGCACCGACTTTGAACGAAATATGGTGTTCAGGTGTGGTCTTACCCCATTCCGAGAGAATAGAAAACAGAGCTGTCAAAGCGTTCGCGGCTGCCGCATTATTTGCCATTATCGTGTCGCTATTCTCTGGCTGAACATATTCGGCGCTGTTGTACTCGGTCGTTCCAATGAGGAGTATGATTTTCCTGACAAGCCCTATCCGGTAGTCTCTCACGATCTCTCCCATGCGATCGATTTCGGGCCCGGGGGACCGAATTCTCAAGGTTCTGAATATCGCGGGCTCGAAGAAGTATTGCCATTCTTTTGAGACGCTCGCCCAATGTGCCATTTGATGTCGTTTCTTAGCCAGCGGGCTAAGCTCCTTGAGTACCATCTGTCGAAGCTCCCGTGGCAAGGCCTCCCATAACGGATGGAGGGAGCTAGCTGCGTTTGGAGGAATGATTTCGGCTTCTTCGTTTGAGCAGAGGGTCTTTGAACGCATTTCCATCGCGTTGATCGGAGACTTGGTTGAGTGCATGAATAAAAGACCTGTGTTTTTGCGGACGACTTTGATGGTTCGATGGTTCCGTTGTCGACGGTGCTTCTGTTTTTCTTCTGGCTTCGTTGTAGGAAGGACTTGCAACGCACCTCGCAGCAGTAGAAGTCTAATACCTTCCCGTATTAGACTTTTCTATGACGAGAAGCTGTTTGGCTCAACACTCTGATGTGACCCACCACCCGGACTGGAGCGCCTTGATGCATCTAGTCACCTGGACGGACCTCGAACACCTTAACGGCCAACCGGATTTCTTATTTCAGCGAGAACACGCAAGACTTCCCGCAGGCTTACCTCGGTCATGGCGTTTTCAGATTAAATACAGCAATTTCAACACGAGCAGCCAGGTGAGGCAATCGTAGCTAAAATACAGAGTGAGATACCATTGGAGCAGTGTTCAGGTGTAATGCTATGTGTGTGAAACGAGACACTTTTGAGGTTCGTGGAAATTTCGATGCATTGCTCAGGAACCCCGGTTCTTTCATATCTTCCGTGTGACACTACTAGCTAGCTTACTGTCTACTTGCCCTCAATGAAAGGCGCCTTCTCGAGAGCTTGTCCCTGTATATGCCAAACACTCCGACCTAGACGCACAAGCTGCTCACCAAAGTCCTCCAGGACCTCCTCCACACTAGGCTCCTCCTCGCTCAAGGTATCACTCGCACCGTCCTCCATGCTGAATGTGAGATCATCCCACGTCTTCTTCCAAGAGGCAATTGCCTCGATGGCAGCGGGGTGCTTGCTCTGGACATGGGTAGCAATCAAGTAGAAGGATGATCGCTTCTTGTGACTCGTGCACGACTTCTTCACGAAGATGTTGGAGAACTTATTGAACAAGCGGAGCTGAAGAATGGTCCTCCACGCCTCGGGTTTATGCAGCAAAATGATCATGGTTCCTCCTGGACGTAGATGCTGTAGGCTGAGAGCCAGCTGCGCGGAAGCAAGTCTGCGAGATTCGGAATTGTGCTTGTCGCGGTAGTCGGACCGGTCTTGAGTGCGCAGGACCTGACCATCGCAGAAGGCGAGTTCGAACACGTCCTCAGCCGTTAGCTGACACTCCGTGTAGAACTTGCTGAAATCGGGATGGTCGGACGGAATGTCGGTCTTGCCCATGTCTGCGGCGAACATGGTGATGTCCACCCATCTCTGATCGAGGTATGGGGTTTTTTGGAGACAAAGCTTGTGACCTCCTTCCTTGTGGGGAAGACTGAAGCCAATGGCGCGCGACTTCCAGTTCATGTCCAGGGCTACGTCGAGAAAGCCGCCTGGAGCCATGCACATGTCGAGAATGCGACCCTTGCCAATGCCCGCTCTGGAGATATCAAAAGCGCCGGTGGCAGTGTGGATCTCAGAGGCGATCTTCTTCATCACCTTGAAGAATATCTGGCATACGCGATTGTCGGCGTTGTCGGCAGCACTGCGCTGCTTCTTGAAGAAGGTGTCTCCGGCTGGGTTCTCCCATCCCTGCGATACGCGGCCGGTTAGTATTGTTCCGACTCAGGAACAAACTTAGCTACTCACCTTCTTGCGCAAGTCGCGGACTTTGACGAACTGTGGGGAGTTCTTCTCGAGGTAGTCATGGATGAGCTTGCCCCGACTCTCCCAGTCTTGGTCGGATTCACGACACTCTCGGGGCTCGGCTGGCTCGGCTGTCGAAGCTTCCATTACCATAGGTTGGGGGATTTTGTCATGACTGTAGAGATAGTCAGGGTTCTGAATTTCATCTTCGATGCGTGCCGCCCACCATTCTAGGGGCGGTGTTGAGACGTAAGCTTGGTCGATCAAGCAGGTGCGGTAGTGATGGTAAGGAGAAGGATGCAAAAGAGATTCGGAGATCTTGATTTAATATTGATGAAGCCGCTAGTGCAGCCTGTGATGTGCCATCACGTGCTTTCGAGAGTATTCCGAACTTTTGTCGGGAATATGATGAAATCTGAAAGAATTCTCGCAGCCTGATAAGTTGGAGGCAGCGACTGGTCTCCTTGCTGTTGCCAGTTGGGGATGACGGCCTCCCGCATATTCTGTGCCTCTGACCAATGAGGCAAGAGTCATCTTTGAACAAAAACTTACAGTGCATGAAAGACTTGTAGCAGTCAATAGCCAAGAAAATGCATAGAGGTCATTTGTAAGTAAATGATAATTACGGTGCTCTTCTGATGCAAAATTACAAGGTTCTATAATTGGTAAAATTGAACTCACCCTCTCAATTACCACCCGGTACTATAAACGTTTTAATAGTGGAAAGAGACCGAGAGAGTCTTGTACGCTTCACTCTACTAGTAAGGTAGGGTACGCAAATATGTTGACAGATCTGATTCAAATGTTCGCATCGAGTTGCGTTGATCGAGCAAACAAAAGTTTGGTCAGCACCATTAAGCTCAAGTTACTCCAGTTCTGCCAAGACAGTTGATAATGCTTATGACTCAGGCTCAAGATTTTGATGCTTCAACCTGTTCTATACTCCTGAGTTTGCGGCTCAATGTTTGGCTTGAAGAAGATCCCTACTCGAAAGCCAAACGCCCTTTACACCTCTTACAATCTCATAGCGTCCATCATACAGAGGGTACATAACGACAGCGAAGAATTTCCAGATGATCGCTACCGTTGTCCAGCTCTTGAAGAAGGTCTTCTCAAAGATGTAATTACGATATAGCGGCATCGGCCAAAGAATGAAGGTGACCAGTACGATGGCGACGAACATGATACAGGCGATCCGATACCATCGGTAGAGCAACTTGATTGTTTCGTCGTCAAAGGGGTGGCGAACATCATCCAGGTTGACTTCACCTGGCAGTGCTGTATTATTGGAATAAACGGCAGGAGGCGACTTTTCACCCACAACAGCGGCGGCATCCTTTTCGGGATCAGCTGACTTTTCGGCGTTGAAGAGGGGCGCCGCAGGGGGTTCTCCCTCCGAATTGGAAGAAGTGTTTCCGTCGCTGTTGGCCTCCTCCTTTTCGGTACTTTGCTTCAACTGAGTTTCCTCTGCAATTTCAGCAACCAGAAATCTTCTCCAATCGAACTTTTCAGGTTTGTATGAAGACAGAAGCACTGAGTAGAGCGCAGGCGAGAAGAAGGATCCGATCGCGCCGTATAGAGCCGGTAAGCTGCTCTCTGTGGTCTTCATGTTGATTTCGCCATAAATGTGATAAGCTGTTCCAATCCAGATGCCCAATCCCGTGAGGAAACCAAGCATGGGGGAGACAATAGCGGCTAATCGAGTTTGACCTGACCAGCAGAGAGTCAAGCCTAGGGGAATGATACCTGGGCAAGATAAGATAGGGCGGAAGTAGCCGATCCTGGTCATGTCTGCGCCTCCATAGTTCAGAGCAAGCGAGATGGCTGTGATGAACACGGCGTGAAACACCACTGTATGATGGCTGACGTGAACCAACTTCTTATCCGACGCCTCGGGGTTGAGATACGTCTTGTAAACATCAAATGATAAGATGCTGCTAACTGCGATCATAGATGAAGACACGGTGCTCGTCAAGGCCATGAAACCAAGACGAGGAAAGCGTCGATTCCCTGGTCACCAAGGAGAGCTTTCAGAGTGTAAGGCATAACTAGCCCTGCGTTGACCTGTGCCAGTGTAAACTCATGAGGATAGCCCGGCCAGATGGGAGTGTTGTGTAGTGCTCTTGCAGTCAGACCGATGACGGTGCCGAGGCCCCATGGGATACCAAATATTGCTACTGCAGCCAGGTTGTATCCTGGAACAGTCGCGTTCACCTCCGTTGCGAATGACTTTTGCCAGAAAGCCGTGTCCTGCCATTTCGATTAGCGTCAAATCCCGTGAGCATGGAAGCACTAGAAATACATGAGCTTACTTACCATTACGACAAGAGCCAAGTTTCCAAACTTCAAGATCAAACCCCAGATTATCGCATCTCGAGACTTCATCGTGAGCAGAGAGCCCTTGTAATTTCCGTCGATCATGTTTTTTGAAGCTGTCGCCACCACCTTATCGTATAAACCACCAAGCCCACCGACAGCAACGAAATTTGAAGTTTAGTTATAGGCCATTTATCACTTAACTAGGATGTTTGACATGACTCTGTTGACCTGCGTCAGGCATTCATGTTGTTCTTCACCCCCAGAGCTTGGGTATGCTGAGTTGGTGATTTCAAAGCATCGCAGACGTGATTTATTACGTAGCACCTAGACAATGCCAATGGAATGTCTTGGACGGAATTATTCCAAAAATAGCCTATTAAACCTCGTCACGTCCGGTAGTGCGACGTTCGCTTCCCCTCAAAGCATGCCTAATTGAAGACTATAACGTATGATAGCTCAGCCAGAGACGGATTACTCCGGGCCGTGTCTAATTGACAGCAAATAGCAGGGTAATCAACTCGAGTCGTCTGACTGTCCTGCAAGCTTTGTCAAGATTTGAGCTGGGGGACGTTGGGAAGTATGATCGATCCAGGATCCCAGATCTTGGCAATCTGGGGAATTGAAATTGAGGTCAGGGGATACCAAGATCGCGGCTTGTTCGCACCATGGACTAAGTCCGAGGAGCATCTCGGCCGGGGTCACTGGAGTTGTCGGACAGTACATACCCGGAGATAAGAGAGCTTCCTGACTCGCGAAAACTAAGCGGCCACACAAGAGATTGTCCGGACAAACAAGACAGGGTTTAGTGATTACATGTGTATAAAAAGTCTACATAATATTCCAATGTTTGCTTCTTCCTATGCATCATTAACGCGTATCATATAATTCTTCGTTCAAGTCATGTTTTACAGAGGAGACAAAATCCACGATCTACTCCGATTCTCCCCAAGACGCATCCCAGAAACATCTTTACAGAGTAGATACCTCCATGGGTCTATCTCTTGACACCAGTGCCGGCGGGGAGCGCCTTGCTGCAATCAGTCAAGTCGTTGATGTTGAAGACACCAAGAAGGCTAAGACGGAGATACTGCTTGGCATATGCCTGTAACTTGGTTAGCTCTGATCTCAAGTCAAACAGAATCAGGTGTGAGCTCACTCCACCCCAGAGCGGTGCGTTATTGGCGAAGGCCTGGAAAGCCGGGGCCGAGCGGGGATCCTTGGAAAGAACCGTGTCACTGGGGAAGGTGACAACCTCGGCAGGAGCTCCAGCCAAAGTTTGTCGGTAGAAATCGACATCCCAGACGTTAGGTGTGGTGTCCTGAGGGGCGTTGACCCTGGATGTGTCGAAGAAGCGTTGACGGCTGGCGGTGTGCGCACCAACAAGGGCAGCGAGACCGGGGGCAGTGATTGTCTTGTTACCGAACAGCTCGATCAACTTGTCAGCAGGGTCCTTTGGGTCCGGAAGCAGACCATCGGGAGCAGCGACAGAAGAGTCCTTGCGGCCAACGAAAGTCTTGATTCTCGGTCCACCAGGGCACGCCACTGTCGCTGTGTTGGCGGCGAACTGGATCAAATCTGCCATGCCGGCACCGTGGTCCTTGTACTTGTCGAACCACGTCTTCATCTGCGACACAATCTCCTCCAAGCCTTTGTTCAGAGGGCGCCCGATCTCTTCCGGAGCGAGAACGATGGAGCCATCAGCACCGCCGAGGTCGCCGGTGTTCAAGCTCCATCCAGCAGCATCGTGGAATCCAAGGCGGATTGCGGCGCGGGCAGGGTCGGTGCAACCGTTGTCGTCACGGAAAGTGGGCATCAGGTCGGCAGCGACGTGTTGCCAGACACAGCACTTGTCCGCATTGCAGTCAGAGCTGCCGAGATCAGGGAGGTTACCGCTAGCGGCGTCGGATGTAGTTGGCGATCCGAAACCGGTGAGAATGCCCTTGACATCCTTACCGACGTCGGACAAGGAACCGTCGGGGATCTTGAGGAGATCGCCGATGTTTTGGTTGTCTGCGGCACCCTCACGGCTAGCAAGTTGTGCCATCATGTCTCCGTGGCTCATTCCGGCGCCGCCCCGTCCCATGCCGGGGTAGGCAGTCGCGACGGCTGCGAGTGCCGTCAGAGCGATGATTGCTTTCGTTCCGGCCATGTTGTCTGGTTGGAGAGATGTGGTGACGGGTGAGAGAAAGCGAAGGTGTTGTGAGCGAAAGTAACGGCTGTCTTAGAGCGAGTGACTGAATGCTGAGGGCTGGAGTGATGATTGACCAAGTGATGGGATCACAAGTGTCTAATTATACCTACACCTACAGCAAGATATCAGTGGCAAAGATGCACTCTGTATGCACAGAAGCAACTCATACTCACCCGTGGCCACCAGCTCGGCCCCGAAGCGGGAGACAGGAGCCATTAGCCTGCTTCAGACATCGAGAGCACGGTTAGGGTGTTTCGGTCTGTAAGCATGTCAATCTCAAGGAAGGAGAGGGCACGGGAAGCTTTGCATTCGTGCAGAGAAAGAAACCTAACAGAGAACGTTGACGGCTTGGCCCATGTGTCAGGTAGCTCTTTGGTGAATGTCTCTGGCTGTCCGTCCGAAATGTCATCTTGCGTGGCGTTGTAAGCGTCCCGTCTCCAAATGTTAGTCTAATGCCAACCTCCAAGTCAGGGCACCTGAGGGCCCGAGAGCGTAAGCAGAAAACGCCTCAAACTTTCTCCTTCGTGGGATTATCTCCCAGCCGTTCTTTCCGACTTTTCGGTTTTCGTATGAGCTGAAAATGCCGATTTCCAGGCGCAAAGGCAATTCCATAATGTTCGGACGCCGTAGGTTGATTTTAGCCTGAAGTCAGCGATCATCCCAACCTCAGCCAACCTCGATGAATGCTTCCTGCATGGATATTTCTCGGAAGGAAATGCCGTTGAAAAGGTTGGAGAGGATGAAAGTTCCATGCCGCCACGTCACTCTTCCTGAATCCTTCCAAGAAGATCGCAAGACTAACTCTGGGGCAAGACACTGCTCTGCTGAATATCTGTTCCTCCAAGAAGCTTGGCTTAAACACCAATTATTGTTTCGGAACTTAATTGAAGGAGTTTGCCTCGCAAAAGATGCCAAGAATGACTACGGAGTGAAAGCTGCGGGAATTAGCTATCGAATGCGCGCCATCGATGTGTCGAATCTGGCGGCTCACGCTGGCCAAGATTTGGCTAAACGGTTGCCTCCCACATCCCGCCAATGAGAATAGACTGAAAATAATCAAGACGTGTCGGCTGTACGGCAGAGTATTCCCTCAGCGGCTCACGGTCGTGAATCGGCGTCGCTAACGTGAGTGCCGGCCGTGCTCCAGTATCTCGGACATCCGAGCTTACATGTCTGTGCCGGCGGCACCCAACCACACCCACATCTCCTTCGGGAGGCCGCACATGATTCTCATTCCAAAAAGAAAAAAAGAGAAAAGAAGAGGCGGAAACTAATGCACATGTCGGTCTTCGCCACGATCCCGGCCTTTGGCAAGTTGGCCCAGGACGCCGGCCTCCCGAGATCAATGTTGCACCAATCTAGCCCCGCGTCTGCCGATGGCGTTCTTTGACAGGAGGGCGAGGACCTTGGATTATTCCTCAGACGCCTGATGACGCGTCCCCGGACCGTAAGCCATCCGTGAGGCTCGTTGTATTGGTAGCATTTGTCACTTGGAGCTTGCCAGCTGGGAATAACTGCTGATGCCGTATCTTGTTCGTCTTGAGTTCTAACAGTCGATTAAACGGCACTGGTGGCGAAACGCCCAATGTCTTCTTCCCCGAGCTCCTGGGCCGGCTTCGGGAAGCATTAGCCCCCGACACTAGCTCCATCGCAATCTTGTTAAATAAGCGCGGTTTACCAGTGGCCGCTCAATTTGGTACGCTGTGCTCAAAATATCCGCTCTAAGAGAATAGGACCCTAGGCCGACAAAATTATTCCTGTGAATAACCGTTCAACCCGGCTAGACGTTTTCATTGTCCATCATACGAAGTCAAATGTTCAATAGAACTACGTTTGTAAGAATGCTAACAAGACCGCCTTTCTTACGGATGTTGCGGCTACAACGCCATTTTCCAGCGTCACCAATGTGGCGCCTTTGCATGTAGACACAGCTGTGTTGCCAAGACGCCATTCTCCTCGCTCAAATCGCCCGTATTTTCCTCTGATTCTGGCAATCCACTAAGACATTCTTATTTCTATGCCGCTTAGCAGCAGGTTTTACAGATATATAGTCTGGCATTCAGACTTTCGAGGATTCCATGCGAAAGATGTAAGAGAAGTCCGAGGGCTTGTTTACTCCAATGCCGAAGTAAAACAGGGTGCTGAAGTGTTGATTGGGGCGCCAAGAGCTTCAATGCGGTCAGCTTACGTGCAGTTGATCTACATACAGCCATGTAACACCAAGTTATTCCAGGCTGTGCTGCTGTGTGACTTGATGCTACCACAGATTCACAGCGGAAACGTTGGGCGGCTAGTCCAAACTACAGTAGGCACTACCTCCGCAATTCAATTGGCGAACCTGGTCGTGTCTTGCATGCTTCTTTGCGACATCAACTTCCAAAGGAGACTAGGTTGTTCTTCGAAGATAACGGTGCCGGCGGTGAAACGACCAGAAAGGATAGAGGATGAAAGTTTATAATACTTAGCAGACGCTATTAGCCCCTCACCTGCTAATTTCTTCATTCTTTGCAACGCAAAAGCAACGATGACGTCTATTGTAGATACCGATAGAATTGGAGCAGATGCGATCGGACGCAGAATTGAAGGCGCCGATGAAAAGACGTTGATCACACATTCTGAGGAATATGGCGAACAACAACAACAGCCAACGGGCCTCGAGGTTCTCAACTCAAACTTTCACGTGTCTACCCGCAATCTAATAGTCTTATAGCGGTACATCAACCATTCCTCAGTCGTGAACTTTGGTGTAATTATTCTTGCATCATGGGAGTCTTTTGCCGTTACTTTCCAATTTGCACTAGCAAACGGTGGCCCAGCTTCGATGTTCTATGGATCCATCCTGGCTGGGTTCGGAGCCTGTGCCGTCGGGTTTTCACTAGCTGAGCTGGCTTCGATGTAGGTAAAATCACCTTCTCATTAAGATTCAAGTTGCTAACAGGCTTGAGTAGTGATCCGACTGTCGGCGCACAGTATCGTTGGTCTGCAAATCTCGCTCCCAGTGCTAATAGGTTTTGGGGTCTACTTCAAGGTACCTCACTACAAAAGTCCCTTTGACATGTTTACAGGTAGTCTCTAGACTGACTGGCTATCTAGGATGGATTACTACTGCTGCGTGGTGCTTCGCCTGTGGGGGCCACCATCTATCTTGGCAAACATCATCACGTCTCTGGCTATCTTCAACAACGATGACTATGAGCCCCAAAGGTGGCATACCAGTCTCATCATGATTGGTACCCTCGTTCTGCCCTTCCTTTTCACTCTCTGGTTTCGAAAGTTTCTCAATGCGTTCGAAATAATTGGTGGGCTCCTACACGTCGCCTTGTTCGTTGTCTTTATTGTTATTCTCGCCGCCCTCGGACAACGCAGCAGTTCCGACTACGTTTTCAATACGCTTACATCTGACTTGTCTGGGTGGAATGATCCTGGCATATCTTGGGGCTTGGGGTTATTGACAATTACGTTCTCCGTGACAGGCTTCGACAGCGTCATACACATGAGTAAGTTACTTAAGGAACCACTTAATCAGCAGATGGTAATCTTTCGTATAGGTGATGAGGTGAGAAAAGCCAGAACACGCGTTCCACGAAGCGTCATTCTTGCCTGCGTCGTCAACTCAGTCATGCTCTTCGCCTTTGTTACGATTTTGCTCTTCTTCATCGGGCCTCTAGAAGACCTTTCCACTGCTCCGCTGCCGCTCATCTACGTAACCTACAACGCGACTGGCTCGAAAGTCGCCTCCAACGCTCTAGTCTCCCTGGTCGCAGTTATAATCTTTTTTGCCTCCTTCAATATGTTGGCTTCAGTATCTCGACTCGTATGGATGTTCGCGAGCGATAAGGGGTTGCCATTCTCCCGCTTCTTCTCGCATGTAGGTTTTCTTGGTTTTAATCCCGCCACCAAAGCTCAACTTCCATTCTGACCTCGTTTCAAAGATCAACCCTACATTCAAGTTACCGATGAATGCATTGCTTCTTATTGTTGGCATCGTCACCTGCCTATCTCTCATCTACATCGCCTCGGCCACAGCATTCAACGCCCTCATCTCTCTTCAGGCTTTGGCTCTACATGTATCATACTTCTTTCCCATTCTTTTCCTCTTGCTTCGGAAGCTTCGCGGTCCGCCACCACCGTACGGGCCTTTTAAGCTGGGAGCTGTAGGAGTTCCGGTCAACGTCTTTGCGCTCAGCTACTTGATCTACGTTGTGCTGTGGATGCCATTCCCGCAAATATTGCCAGTCACGAAAGACAACATGAATTACGCAGGCCCGATATTTGGAGCAGTTCTGCTAGGTGCGCTCATTGATTGGTTTGCAAGCGGGCGGAAAAGGTTTCAGATGCCTCTGAGGAAATATGAGTAGTCTACTTACTACATCGCATTGCATCTGAGTAAGGCACCTTGGTTGCTGGATCGCGTTAAGCGTGCAAGCTTCTAGATCGAATATCGGCTCTGGGTTCTTGCACTTAAGCTCTTTGAGTGACCAATTAGCTAGAGCAGGCTGTGCACCTCGAGGTTCATGTTGTCAATACATACTAAAGTGGTCTTCAGAAATCATTTCTGATGACTATATGTACATGTGCAATCCAACTCCTCGAATCTTCTCATACACGCAATGTGTTCAAGGTAGCAACGCTGAAAGCAACCCAGGCACCAACATCAACAGTCACCATGCGCAACCAGTTGGCATTCAACCACTTATCTAAAATTCCGTTGGCATCATGGTCGTCTTTCGCCTCTGCCAAGCCCTTCACATGCGGCGCAACAGCCGGAACATAGAGCAAGTGTCCCGCCGACATGGCCGTGCCAGCAGCGTACCACCAAAATGTGCTCTGGGACCTAAGTGCAGCTGGCTGGTTGAATAAGTTTGCAATGCCTGTGCTCGTCGATACAGCAATGAAGCCTAGAACAATAAAGACGCCACGAGAGAAGAAGTTGTTGAAGTAGGGCTTCAGTATCGGCGCGCTCTTCTTTCGAAGCTCGGGTGTATCGTTGAAAAGGCTGAGGAAGAAGTGCTGATCCCAGGCGAAGAGGAGAGTGCAAGTCGACGACACTAGAGGTGCGACGCGAAGTGCGACGAGGGGGTCGAAGAACTGGCCTGATGCCATCGTGTCGGTCTCGTGCAATTGGCTGGATGATTCCGTCGAGAACACCAGCTCAAGTCTCTGGCCTAGTGGAAAAACAGGGGGTAATGTAGCCTACTAGTATGTAGTCGCAATTTGGAACCTCGGTGTTTGTTGATCTCAGTTTTGCGAATGCTGCCAAGACTAGAAACGTTTCTGTTGTTTTTGTATGGTTGAGAGAAGTTTTGCTCAACTTTTGACTGCTTTTAGAACTCGTAGCAACGGATTTTCGGCGACTTTCCCCGCCGAAGGATTTCGTGGCGCTATCTTTAGCTCTGTGAGACGCGGGGAATCGCCCGATTGACACGGGGGATGTAAGCGCCTAGACTGCAGTCAGATGGATTAATTTCGTGTCTTACCGGCCGTTTCATCAACGAGTCTTGTTCATACAGATGTTCTATGACTATGGTTCTTCCGGGCACATGGAATCCACCTCCGCAGTCGGCAAGGCCCGATATCTCCGAGGATACCCCACTAGGTACCCGGCCACAGCCGGATGGTGGGGCCGACGCCGTTCCGCGCAATATCGATTTCATGCCCCGAGACATCAAGTATCCAGTTCAATGGTGCACACTCTCTTAGCCATTATGACCAATCGCAGAGTCATACGTTTTCCCGCATCAAATGTTGTGTCTTCCAATTACAACCACAAGAGGATGATGAACCCCTATTCGCCGACATGAACGCCTCACTCTTCTGGCATCGGGGCTTTGCAACTTGGCCATGCCGTCCACCATTCGTTTGTATGCCGCCCCACAGCCGTCCAAACATGCATGTGCAGGCATGCAAGACACCCAACTTGAAAGTCTGAGTTGGATGAGATACAAAGAATGCGGAGATCCACTGGCTCGGGTCGATGCTCATCGGGTGATTTGAAAAAAAGGACCAGACTGAAGCCAAGGGTAGAGTGAAATTAGGCAGATGAGGCGTTCGTCCGCTTTGGACAGCAAACGGTTTGTTTCAGCAATTTTTCCAGGTTGGGCCATTGGAGATCCCCTGTCTCAGTTGGTTGAAGTGATGAGGCTGGCTTACTCTGCACAAACGGTTCGCTTCGGCCATGAGGTCGGCCGGGCTACCTACTGTGGCCTTGTCCGCTGCCCGAGACAATATGATGTAGGACAAGGGCCGCGAAGGTGTGTAATTGAGTATAGCCTGCTGGCGAGGCAGACTACGTACGTACTAGTCAAATGACTCAAATCAGCACCATACACATAAGTAAGATAGCAACTCTGACCAATCAATTCTGATTTCCGACGGATGGCACAGGGACGACGGAAGAAGGTGGGCGGATGTGTACACCATCATCCCTGACATGTTTTGAGGCGTTCTTTGTTGGCTGCACGATATCGCTGCAATTTATGGCCAGCCTCAGACTTTGATATAGCAGCCTGTGGAGTGCGACAAATTTCTTCCGAACATGAACGGATGAACGGCAATCGTCGTAAGCCTCCGATTGAGTCAAGATCTTGCTGATGCTGCCTAGAATTAGTCTCCATATCTGCCTAGCTATGTGATCAAAGAAGGCGCCCATCGAGCTGACAGCGGCTCTTGGCCAACACGGTACCTAGGCGTCATATGTTTGCCTTGTTAGTTGGGGAGACAAAAAAAGGGGTCGGCGCAACCAACAGAAGAGTGCAAATTACCTGCATGATGCAGTGCTTCCCTCTAACGGGTAGACTGAAGTAGCAGAAGGCTACCATAAAATCACCCATATTTCGCAGGGAGCCAGGAAATTTGATAAAGAGACACTAGCCACCCAAATGCGGCTCTAAAGCCAGCAAGGAAGCCTTGGGTGATGAGCTACCACGTGTCATCGAACGCTCCAACATTTCGCCGTAATTTTCCATGGGGTCCAAGACGCATGAGAAGAAAGTAGAAGGACATCACACTGTTTCATTGACACATATTCTTGAACCTACGGACCAGAGGTGAAGACCATCTCAGAGTTTCACCCCCATCACCGAAACAACGAGCAGCAAAATCCACTTCACCCACGACCAACCGTGTGGGAGCGTATTACCACGGTGTATTATCGGAAGGTGCGAGGCCCAAGATACCAGCACCGGTTCTTACCGTATTTAAATGCTTGCTTCCCAGTAGACGAGTTCCTCAGTCCTTGCACCACCTCTATTCCTGTCGAACCACACATCAACACGTCATCGACCCCTCACCAGGCTTCTTCAGCAATTCATCATGGCATCCGCGGATCAAGGTCTCACCGACCGACAATCGGAGACCACCATTGCTGACGCTGCCATCGCCAACATGGACGCAGGCAAGGATTCTGCCACTGTCGTCGTCGCTCCGGCCTCAGCTTCACAGGCCAAGGCACCTAAGAGTACGAAGGCGAACAAGAAAGACAAGAAGAAGGCTGCTAAGTCCAAGTCGAAGAAGCAACTCAAGAAGGCAAAGAAGCACAAGAGAGCGACCAACCTAGACACGGACGACTCATCTGAGGAAATTACTGATGATAGCGAGTCCGAGGCCGAAGATTCTTCTTCCGATTCGGAAGGCAGCTCTTCTGAGTCGTCCGATAGTGACAGTGAGAGGGAGCACATCAAGTCGAAGAAGAAGTCCAGCGCCAAAGGCAAGAACGGCCGATCCTCGAAGAAGCAGAAGCACAAGTCACTTAGGAAGCGCACTCCATCATCGTCTTCGTCCTCTTCCGACACCGAATCTTCTGAAGTTGTCGATGACTCTGAGGATGATGCGCCCGGGAAAGGTGGTGGAATTACCAGGGTGGCGATGACGCCTAATCAATTGGCACTCTTCAGACAGATGCAGGCTGGACCCCCTCCCTATCCAAAGATCAACGGTCTTCGTAATGCTGCCCCCGCTCCCGGCTCCGCCATGACTGGCAGCAAATCTGCAAAGCGTGGCAAATTTCCTCCGCCATCTCCCAAGAAAAGGTCGTCCAAGCTGGACTTCAAGCGAGTTGATCAGGTTTGGGACACCACAATTCATAACTACAGACTCCAGGAGACGTCGACGGCCACCTCGAACTCACAGTATGACGGATATGTTCTTCAAGTCAGACGTACCTTTGATTGGGAGGGCAAGTACCAGACCACTTTTCTCGATGTCAAAAGCAAGGTCTTGCGCGAGTGCCTTCAGGAGGTGATAGGCAACATCAAGGGAATCAGCTTGGTCGATGAGACGCCAAAGCTGAATCCTAACATGGTGTTCTTGTAAGTTGTCAGCGACCTCACCTGCCCTCTTATACCTGACTGAATACTCCAGGTACTTGGAAGACTTGCGCCAGTACCGCAAGACGTTGAGCAAGATTTCGGCCAAGGACCTTGACAAGAAAGAGCGCAAGAAGTTCAAGAAGGACGTTGAGAACAAGCGCCAGCATCTCAAAGTACTTCTCAAGTATCTCTATAAGGACTACGCCGAAGTCAAGAAGAGGTATTTTAGCACTTGGTCTTATTGAGGAGGCATCGCTAACCAACTATCAGCCTGTATCCCATGTTGGAAAATGGTCTCATCACCTTCGATCTTCTCTGGGCTCTGTTTAAGCCCAATACGCTCATCTACACCACCACGTACGGGTCCTCCGACGAGCCTCGTGTCTTCAAGGTAGAGCAGGCGGAGAAGATGAACAGCATGACGAAGGGGGAATTCTACCTGCTCGATGGCAAGGTCAGTACTTCTCCACACGTTGCCCCATCAAGTCATTGACAATTCTGACAATCTATCAGTACATGGAGTATGACGGGAAGCAATTTGGTTACGGCACGCTCTGCGAAGAGATCCCGGAGTTCCGTGGTGCCCGGAAGATTAGCAGCCTCAACGCCTTCCCCCTCGACTTCCACAAGGAGAAGCAGGCCATCAAGACAACCCTGATCGAACGCGGCAAAAAGTTCGTCAACCTCGGTGGCGTGAAATACCGAAGTCATCAGGGCTTGGCCTACTATAAGAAGAAGAAGAGCATCATCAAGGTCAACATTAACGGACGCATCATGGTTGATCCCTCTGTCCACCGCAGGATCAACCCGAACTACCAAGTGTCTGTCGTCAGACCCAAGGATCACGACATCTTATCTGATTCGGAGGACTCTGACGAGGACGAGAAACCCTGCGAGAAAGATGACTCTTCCTCGGAGAACGCTTGCAGTAGTGACGACGATGCGGGTTGCGGGAAGATGGTCACGAAGGTTGTTCGCGACGGCAAGGGTAAGGTCCACATGCTTCGAATCCCCAAGTCCTTTGTCGAGGATGCTGCCACGCTGGAGAAACCGCTTGAGCGGGTTGATGAAGCCACGACCGGCGAAGACTCCAACGAGCCCCGGGATACTAGTAGTGACAAGACGAAGAATGCGCCGGAGTTCTCTGACGAGGATTACCTCATTGCATCTTCTGTTGTATTGGGATTTTCCTTTTCTGAGAAGCTCTGGCTCGAGTTCACCGTCTCCGGAGTCAACGACATTCAGTGGAATGATGGCGCATACGAGTCTTTGGTCTTGGAGCCTAAGCAGAAAGACATCGTCAAGGTAAATGATCTCGCACTTGCTTTAAAGCACGTGCATGAATTCGTGAACAGAGTATGACTGACATTTCCCACAGGCACTCGTCGAGTCGCACAAGTACCACGCTACTGAGAGCATCGACGATGTCATCCAAGGCAAGGGAAAAGGCCTTGTTGGTGAGTCCTAATTCCTCCCAGTGCTCAAACCCTACTGACTCTCTTCAGCTGTTCTCCATGGACCGCCTGGAACTGGCAAGACGCTCACAGCTGAGGGGATCAGCGAACTCCTCAAGTGTCCCTTGTACATGGTTTCTGCGGGAGAGTTAGGCACCGACTCTCGATACCTCGAGACGGAGTTGCAGAAGATCCTCGACATCTGCCATGCCTGGGGCGCCATCCTTCTTCTTGACGAGGCTGATGTTTTCCTCGAGGAGAGAAACCTTCATGAAATCTCACGCAACGCACTGGTTAGTATCTTCTTGCGACAGCTTGAGTATTTCCAGGGCATCCTGTTCTTGACGACCAACCGAGTCGAGGTAAGTCATGAGACGCTGCTTCCCACACCACTGAACCCGTTCATTACTAATACTCCCACAGACCTTTGATGATGCATTCCAGTCACGTATTCACATTGCCTTGCGATACGACAGTCTTACCCACAAGGCGAAAAAGGCCATTTTCAAGATCTTCGTAGAGCGAGTCCGTGTTCTCGAGAAGGTTGACCTCAAGCCCTTCACCGAGGACGACTATGAAAGTCTGGCAAAGCATGATCTCAACGGTCGCCAGATCAAGAACACGATCCGGACCGCCCAGGCCTTGGCCGTCAATAAGGGTGAGCCTCTTGGCATGGAGCACATCTCGCAGGTCTTGGACGTTCAGAATAGCTTTGATCTTCATCTCAAGGGTGGAGAGTCCTACAAGGATGCCATGAGAAGCTATTACTGAGGTGTTTGATGGAGCCCAAGGGGGGTGGTAGACGTTGGTGGTCTACTCTAAGTCTAGTATTACTCCACAGGAACGGTCTGGTGTTTCAGAATCCCTTTAGAACGAGATCGCTTTGCTTCGCTACATGTAACAAAACTTATTATCCTGTTTCCAGAGCTCTGGATTGGATGTGAAGTGCGTACACTGCTCACTGAGGTAGCTTCGATGGTCCTATCACAAGGTACGGAACAACTCAATACTGACGACTCAGAGGAACTGAGACGCAAGACGATATTAAATTTGCTCCACAGTAATTTGCAAGATTCAAGGTTTAGGAAGATGAAATATGAATATAAATTTCAAGAAGTTGAGAACAAATCTCAAAGAAGAATGATGGGCTCACTAGACTAGAGCTAGCAGCTAACTAATTGCAGCTTCCACCCGTTCAGCAATCTTAAAAGCTGCCCACCAGGGGCCTTGAACAACAATCTTTGTGTTCCAATCCCCCAAGCCGTATACGAGCATCGATGCTGTTCGCATCTTACGCCTGGAACTCAACTTCGCGCTTGGCGGCCGGAGCAGCGGCCGGGTTAGAGTTGGTGGCGGCACCGCCAGGGGCAATCTGGATGGGCACAACACCTCCGAAGGGGCCAGCGCCGTTGGAGTTGGCGATCTTGACCAGGCAGACGTTGCTCTGGCCACCCATGGTACCGGTGCAGGTGGTGCCAGCGGGAACGGAGAAGGCCATGGGCTGAAGAGAGCGTATTAGTAGGTGTTCGTCGAGGGCAGAGTGGGATGTGACTTACGAAGTCCTTGTTGACGTTGGAGGCACGCTTCTCAATGACGCTCATGGCTCTCTCCCACAAGGATCGCTTGCCGCCAGGAACCTGGCCATTGGGCCTGATGTTACCGCCCTTGCCGGGAACTTGCTGGGTAACCTGGAGCTCAGTGCCCTGAGAGAACTGGCCGGTGCCAGTGGAGTCGAGAACGGCGCGGAGGGGGCCGGCACCGTCGGTGGTGACGACGTGGAAGGTGCCGGAGATGCTTCCACCGGTGGAGGAGACCTGGGGGAGGGTGTCGCCGGACAGAGCCATGGCCTGGGAGATGTCGGCGGCCTGGACCTTGCCACCGCCGGTTGTCTTGCCCATGCCGTCTGTCATGATGTTCTTGCTCTTGAAGACGGTGGTGTCGAGTTCAGTCTAAGTTGGGATACGTTAGTCTTCTCTTCCTTCTGCTGTGATGTCTTTGCGAACTCACCTTGCGGTTGGGACCGGGGCCGGGAACAACGGCACCCTGGATAGCGAGAGCAGTGCCATTGCCACCGAGATCACCAGTGACCTGTGCAACCTTGCCGTGTGCGGCGACGGAAGTAGCTGCTGCGAGAGCGAAGATGATCGTCTTGGAAACCATTTTGAAAAGAGTTGTGGGGATTTGGAAGTACAAGTGACTTGATTAGAGCGATGATTCGGATCCGAGCCGGATTAGTTGGAAAGAAAGTTCTGAATAGAAGTAAAAGAGTTGGAAATAAGTTTAAATCTGCGCGATTCAATCGGCTATGAGATGAGAATGGAATACAAACGAAGAGTTGAAGCTGCTGAATAGAGAAGCGGAAACCAAAACTTAGAGGCGGACGATCATTAGGCTTTATACTTGACTCTACAGGCCTGGATGTCTATGATGGAGAAAATCTCCGAAACAGCAGTAGAGACAGGCCCCAAAGGTGTACGGTACACGTCCGCGGCTACTGTTCGTATGGGTTCGGGTTCGCGATGCAGCATGGCTTGGGACTGCGTTCGCTAGCCAGACGTCGTCCCAAACGCGACCCTATCCCAAAGCAGTAAAACTCCAGGAACGAGACGAGCAGCCCCATCTACGTCTGAGGCATGTGAAACGTCGCGACACCTTCACCTCCCTTCGCGACGTCCAATGTGTGGTGGGGCGGGGGGCGACAATATTCGGTGCGAGGCTTCAATATCGACCAGGTGTCGGCCAATGTCCGCAGGTTCAACCAACATTGGACGAGATCGTATCGGCGCCCGACGTGAGGAGCAACTCATTGGATGACTTTGACACTGACAGGGCATAACACTTTGCTCCTATACGGCTTGACCTGACAACTGCAGGTCTGAGTGTTGAGGAGCGTAGTCTCTCTTTCGCCCTCCCTCACTTAGGTGTGTCACTCGGACTCTGCAACATGCAAACGCGACACCGCAAAAGGCACATCGTTGATCGTTTGCATCGGGTGGTTTCCATCATTAGGATTCGCTTGACGTAGTTGAGTTGCGAGCACGCGAGAACTCGAACCAACTTGTGCGCATCCCACAGAGTTTTTCCCGACATGCAAACGTTTGTGTCTCTGAACTCAGTCAGCCAAACAGATCTACCTCAAGGAACCTCCATCTTGATCGGCCCCCGCTGGATCTCAGGGCGGCAGCACCACACGCCCAACCGAACCGAGAACGTCACCGACTAAGGCAGATTCACCGTCGGCTGGCATAACTGACTCGGGTCGCTGCCGCCTATATTGGCCGCGGCCACCGCGCAGCCATCTCCCCTGAAAAGAAGGGGGAAGAAAGACAGAAAAGCTTTATGAGACGGTGAAACTCGTCTTGGGCCCGTCTGGACGTGGGACACCGCTGTAGCGACCACGCCGTGATAGGCCCGAACGCTTGATGTTTCACTTGCCAAGGCACGCATTTCCCTGCGTGCCTGGTTCACGTCCGCCACTTGCGGCTGATGTGGCCGTCAGTGATGACCGTTGCGCTGACACATGCATTTGAGATTGGATAAAGCTGAAGGCGATGATGAAAACGAAGGTGCAACGCATTGCATGAGGAGAGCATTGGACGGCGCTCGCGTCTGGTGTCGTCTGTCACCTGCCATCTGTCATGCCCAGAACTCTGCGCAGGCTTCCCCTTGAGATGGCATGCTCTCGGACATTTCGAAAGGTAAGACTTTGCGGCAGGCGTCGTAAGTGGTCGGGCTCTTCCGAAGCTTGAAATGGTACTGGCGATCAAATCTCGGGGCGGTAAGACGTATCATCGAGAAGAGAAATACCAAGGTTGAAGAACACTGCATATTCAGAATCAAGGAAGCGTGGAAGCCAAGTCTTGATGTTTACAGAATCTCCAACCAACTTGCCACTCCCGTGTTTTGCCAAGGCACGGGAAGCTCATTGTTTCCATCAACCTGAGAATGCAGGAAAGGCTTGTGTGGTTTTGTCTCCCGCAGTCGCACGCGGCCGTACATTCTTCAGTTCCCATGCGGCTGATCCCCGAATTCATCCGCCGATCTCCCAAAGGAAGGATATCAAAACAGCATTCTTCCTTTCGTCTTTCCAATCGGTAAGAGTTACCTGCCTGAATGACCTAGCCCCACACTTGCCGCGGATGGATCGGCAACTTGATACACGTGGAGACGCTTCTGGTGTAAAACACGACCTCGCGCCTCGCGCTCCCTTGCGGAGAGCTATGTCGGCAATTCCGCTGATATCATCATCGTATTGGCCGGGGAAAAGAGCCAAAATCCCTTTCGCTATACTATAACAGCCATGAAAAGGGGGTTGGTCCATTGGTCATACTCAATGGAAGAGGCTCTGGAGGATGAAAAGAGACCCCCAGTCTCTCATCCCCCGCAACATGAAGCCAGGGGTCGCATCATCGTCCAGTGAATGCAAGACGACAGCCAGCCAGCGCGGAAAATTCGGACGACTTTGGTGCACGCATGAGACCAAACAATGTGGGTTGTCTGAATTTTCCCTGGTGATGTCGCTTTGTCCGGACAGGGCAGCTCTCATCTGCCTCCTGACTCCTAAGGTTGTCTTCATCACAATGCCATTTCCAATGTCAATTTCTGTCACCCCCTTTACTCTCTCCTGCATGCACCAGATTTTTTGCTGGCATCTACAGTCTACGACCACAGATCTAATTAATCAGTCTACTCCGTACGGAGTACAGTTACACTCAAAGGTCGAGAAGATCTTCCACAATGACTGGGCGATCTTGGTACCCGAGGCAAAGGAAATTCTGCCTGTTCATTGGATAGAAAAAGCTGGGAAAGAGCCGCGGCAACACCTGAAAGATCTGAAAGGGGGCACGGAGGTCAACCATTTTAGTTGACAATGCGAGGCTTTGGAAACCACGCTGCATCGCGACCATCACAGGACTATCGTTTTAAGTTCACCGCCTCCAGCAAAACCTTATGGATTATCATCTCGTGAAGAGGCGTGAGAGGGTGACATCCAATTCGGGATTTGGCTGTGGTCTCAAATGATGATCATCGGCGCCCCCTGCCAAGCAACCCGCGAATCCGCTGATCTGGAGGGGTCCGAGCCTCCGAAAGCTCACTAAAACAATGTTTCCGACCCAGAAAGACTCTACGACGATCTCGGAATTGGGTTTGGTTGGGTTTGGTTCACAACGCGGCGCTGAGACAATTGCACAACCGGCTGACTTTTACTTCGAGTTGCCAACTAACTATTGACTAACGAATAGGTAAGTGGAAGCTTTTTCTGGTTTTTCTCTATTTAACTTTTGGTTTGCAGGATAACGGTCGAACGGCACCTAGCAAGCATGCCAAGCTTAATTTCATCGTGTCTCTCCCTACATGTGGCTAACGAACGTTTCGACGTCGTTGCGGAGCTTCCGGGGAGTAACGATCGTCGACGTCAAGGGTTCTTCATGGAGACGTCTCCCACAAAGTTCCCCGAAGCATAGCTGCTCTGCCTGGTCAGCTCTGATCGTCAACTTTTGACATTTGACAGACCGGGGCACGGGAGGCTGTCTGCCGCCATGACGAACCTTCGTCAAGGGTTTGAAAGGAAGATTAGGAAATAGAGGCAGCCAAGGAGAGGCTGATGGAACAAACTAGGAAACGACCCATGATCTTGCACTCAGAGGGATAATTTCGAGCTGCATTTGGAAACCTTGTGGGGGTCTGTGATCGGCATCTTCGGGGAATTGTTGAGGGTCGTGATCCCTTCCATGAGTATGTCATGATGGGTGTTGTTCGTGCATCGACCTCAAGTCCTCCAGGTACATAAGCCGTTGACAACTCTGCGAGAATAGAGCTTTTCTTCATCCAGCTTCAGCATTCTCACTCAGTCACTCTTTTCAGACTTTTCAGCTTTTTCAGCTGTCTCTCGTCATTCCTTAATCCAACTTACACCACACTCTTTAACTAATTCAAACAAAAAACCCCCAACCGCAAAAATGAAGTTCCTCAACCTCGGCCTCGTCGCCATCTCCTCCCTCTTCGCCACCTCACTCGCGGCGCCCGCCATCCACGGCCTCCCCACCGACGTCACCGATGTCTCCAAGGTCCCCGTCGTCCACGTCCCCATTGCCCCGGAGACCGACGTCCTCGACAAGCGCACTGAGGTCATCTACACCAAGGTCCAGTACACCATCGTCGAGGTCAAGAAGCACTGCTCCACCATCAACTCCACTGTCGATGGCGTCACCAAGGGCCAGATCGCTCAGAAGAAGGCCGACATCATCAAGCTCGTCAAGAGCGAGGTCACCATCATCGTCAGCCTGATCCACTCCCTCGTCGGCGACGTTGTCGAGCTCCTTGGCGAGACTGTCGAGATTGTCGGTGAGGAGAAGGAGCAGATCATCTCCTGCGTTCTTGAGCTCATCTTTGAGATCATCTACTGCCTGAAGCATGTCATCGCCATTCTTGGATGCAGTAAGTCAACACAACAGACGACAATTCCTTGAGAATCTCCCGCTAACCAATATCAACTAGGCATCTTCGAGCTCCTCGGCCCCATCGTCTTCGTCCTCCTCACTGTCGTCTTCCACCTCCTCTGCTCCCTCAACGGCCTCATCGAGGGTCTCTTGGAGCTCGTCTGCTCCGTCCTCGGCGGTGTCATCGGCCTCCTCCTCGAGGTCCTTGCCGGCCTTCTGCCCATCGTCCTTGGCCTCGTCGGAGGTATCCTCAAGGCCATCAACCTTAGTGGCCTTCTCTGCAGCGTCGGCAGCATCCTCTGAATTTCTCTGCCCAACACTAGCAGCGAAGTTTCAAGTAGAAACACTCTTCGATTGGTTTAATACATGGTAGCCGGCGAACATGGATATAGAGCACTCAGGTGCAGTCACTTAATATCAATCTTCGAGTACATATTATTAAATATGACTTGCAGTGAAAGAATATATTTTGTATCACTTATCCACTAGTCTTGACTCTCTCGTGACGTATCCTGTCCATTATAGTAGCTTTTATCACAGAATCGAAATACCACAGTGCCTGGCGCAATGGCGCATCGGAACGCAAAGTGAAGACATTGCAATATCTGTAGTTACAGAAGGCGGAATTTACTTCTAAAGTAAAAGAAAATCCCAATCGTAGCTATTGACCGCTCAAATCACACTGAGCTCGGTTCATTGTGAGATGCTCCAGTCAAGCTTCTATTCCATTATGAACTGGTGGAGTTCCGCACAGTATTGCCAGACTTCTAGAGGACGAGGTATGTCTTGCCCAAGTTGACTTCGATATCAGATCCAACGTTCGCGAGGAGGAGGTCTCTCAAGCAACAAGAAGTTTCTATTGTGTCGTAGGGTATATCAGGCGTTAACGGCGTCGTTTTTGCGACATATTGATATAGGTAAGCTTAGACCCTCTTCCTCTCTTGCCCCCTGCCTCATCTCCTCACTCGACATATACACAGCTCTGAACTAGTGGCATTGGGCTGTCCCCTGACTCCCCGATAGTAGCACTCGTCGGGAATATAGTCCACAACCTCAAATCTATGAGCGATGATCCGCGGGTTAAGAACTGTTGTCGTAGGCTCTTTATTGCGGACCGCCGCGTGACCTCGCACTCGGAACATGTCTGCGGCAGACCAATGGGTTCCATGCCCAGATCTCTAGCTCTCTTCTCGAGGTACCTACTCAGCGTACCTTACCGGAAGCGTAAGGAGGGATATGACTTTTAGTAACAGAACCATTACTTCGCGACTCCCACTACTCTTGCGCTATACGTTACCGTAACTCGTAATACTATAGGAGTGATATTTGCGATAGTTGCGATGAAAGTAACGGTTGCTTGAGAGTTGCCGAGAGTTTTGGGAGTTGTAGGTGGGGTATCGGGAGACCGTGCCGGGGGAACCTACTCTGGGTGCCCGGGGTGTATAGATGCTGATGCTTCTAGACGAATGTATCAATGTACTACTGCCTACGTACATAGAGGTAGTAGTTTCGGTGGGGGCTGTCTGGATATTTCGGGCTTTGCGAGAACCTTGGACTTCGTTCCTCCATCTGCGTGGCCTGGTCAAGAAGCTCCGAGCATGGTTTTGGCGCAAGTTCGTCCAAGAGGTCTCTGTACCTAGTCGCCCGCAATGCACGTCATGGCGACTTGCACATGCATACCGGGTCGACGGCGGACAAGTTTCCTCAACGTTACTTCTCACAGGTGCCGGCATTCATGTTATGTCGAGCTTGATCGGCAGCCTCTCACCGCGATTTGCCTCCAGATGGTCGCCGCCCGGAGGCGGTTGAGCGTAAGCCTGGTACCTGGAAGGATCAATTCGTCTTTGTGGTGAGACTGAACCTCCTCTTGAAGTTCAGGGGAAGACGGCATCTTTCTCGCGAATGGAATCGTACTGTGCAAAAGAGGAAAATGTGATGTTTGTTTGTTTGTTTGTTTTATATTTAACGCCATGGCGGCAAGGGCGCAGCCGCCCTTGCGGCAGACTTCCCGGAGGGTATGTGGCGTGAAGGGTCGCAGGCTCTAGCTATATACTATATAGTACACGCCGTATCCTGACGTCCTCCAAATCTTGCTCGTGAGCTACTATGTGTTCTATCTATCCTTAGTTCCTACTGGTGCCCTAGTTCCGTTATAACCATCTGGTTTCTTAATAGAGGTAGTTTGTCGTTGGGAGGATAGGTTATGACCTATCTCCTAGTACCGCGGGCAGATCTTCTGGAAGAAGTCTGTCACGTAGAGGAAGGCCTGGAAGCCTTTAGAGTCAGTGATTAGCCCCTTGAAGTAGCGATCGAGGGACCCTATAGGTCCTACGGGCTCCTGGCGGCTATAGGGGTAGAGGGTGGGCCACTGTTACCTCCTCAGTAGGGTCTTTCGGCAGTAGACTAGATGGTCTGCCTCCTTAACCTATCCATAGGAGCAGGTGAGTAGTGCTTTTGTGTGGTTAAAGCGTTAGTGATATTGTTTAAAGTCCCCGTGGCCTGACCGTGCTGCGAGGAGGTGATAAAGGGTAGCCCTAGGGAGGCCAAGTTCAGGAGGGCAAGTAAGGGTGGCCTTAAGCCCTAGTTAGGTATAGTAGGGAGTTGCCTCTTGTTTCTATTATCGTTTATATTGGCGTCTTGGCCGCTCTTTAGCAAGCTACTTAATACCTGATAGAGTAGCTAGTTGGCCCCTAGGGACTAGTAGAGTTATTCCCTCCTTAGCTAGGCTGTCTACTTCTTCGTTTCCTTTAATATCTTGGTACCCCGGGGACTAATGGGTTTATATATTATATATCCTAGCTACCTCCTGGATCTTTAAGAAGGCAGCTTATGAGGAGTCTGGGACCTTGCCACGGATTCCCTAGATAATACTAATATTATCGATATAGATATGTATCGGCTGGCCTTAAGAGGTATGGAGGGCCCGTCAGAGCCCCGCCCTCGCCCCTTCCGCCTTACCGTTAAATACCTCTACTAAGCCGAGGCGCCCGTAGCCCTAGGCTATATATCTATTTTTATAATAAAGCCGAACCCCGTGGCCCTATTAGCGGCTTTAGAGCCGTCTAAATAAGTAATTATATGATTCTTTAGTACGGGTTTGAGCCAGGCTTAGAAGGTTTTAGCTATATCCTCCTTACGCTCTAGGGCTATGAGGTCTTATGAGCTTAGGGGGTATTACGGCTATATAAGTAAAGGCCTTGGGTATTTAGGTAAGAGGCTAGCTGTTCTTTAAAGTCTTATCCGTTACCGCCCTTGCTGCCAGAGCCTTGGGACCAAGGGATGTTGTTAGTTAACCTTCTATAGCCGTATAGTAAAGCATAGTTGTGCTACTTCGAGGGCAACCTCTGCTGTGGGTAGGCCAGCCTCACGAAGGAGGCTGCTAGTTGGTGTGGTCCTCTAGATAAGTAGGATAACCCTTGCCGCTGCTGAAATAACTTTCCCGACTTTGCGGACCAGGCCCTTCTGTCCCGTACTTATAGTAGCTACCTATATAGTAGTACCATTATTGGTATTGGTGTTGTTACTTAAGGCTGGTCTGTATAAGCCTGCATACTAGGTTTCAGCTCCGTAGAGGACTATAGGTAAGATATAGGCGACGGCCGCTTTACGCACAGTAGCTGCTGGTAGCCCCCCTTTTATGTTTGTTAGGTGCCGTGAGAAATGGGCTACCTTTTTTGCTGCTGCGACCTTTGTTTCCATATAGTGCCGGAAGGTGAGTCTCTTGTCGAACCAGACCCCTAGCCATCGTATAGGCTTGGTCGAGGCCTTAATAGTTAGGCCTCTTGCCTATATATCTAGTATATCCCTTATCTAGTTATACTTCTTATTAAAGTAGATTACCTCGTACTTAGCTAGGTCAAAGGTAACCTTATTATTAATGCCCTAGTTAAGGATATAAGTAATGTCCTGGCTTAAGGCTGTAGTATTATCTTTTAGCGTCGGGCTAATAGCTAATAGACCTATATTATCTATAACTATAGCTAAACCGAAGCTTTTGATTATTAGCTAGGATATCGGCTATATATAGTAAAAAGAGTATCGGGGATAGTGGGGAGCCTTGCGGCAGCCTATAGGATAGGGGGAAGTCCTCTGTAGTAGTATCCTCTAGCCTGACCCGAGTAGTTCGGCTAGAGGTGAAAGTAAAGATTAGCTTAATTAGGCTATTAGGCTAGCCCTGCTGCCGTAGCCTAATAATAAGTCGATTTTGTAGAACGGAATCAAGCGCCCCCTTGATGTCCATTGTTGCTAGAGTTGCAGTAAGCCCTGAGTCTAGAGCGCTTTCTATCTTATGGGTTAGATAGGTTGTTAGGTCGACTATAGCCCTTCCTGGTAGTGCCCCAATCTGCTGTGGGCTAGTAACTCCTTTTAAGATGGTGAGGTATGCTATCTTTTTTGCTATTAGCCGCTCTAGGCCTTTACCTAAGTAGGATAAAAGGGAGATTGGACGCTAGGATCTAGTCTTTGAGAAATCTATTTTCCCTGGCTTCTGGATTATAATAACCTCTGCTTTGCGGAAGGTCCTGGGGAAGTAGCCCGTTTGAACGTAGGCCTGAAAGAGCTGCTATATAGGTGTAGCTATTAAGCCCTAAGTGTATTGTAGTAACTTTGTAGTAATCCTATCAATCCTAGGGGTTGTGGACTTTGTGAGAATCGCCTGGCGTACTTCTTCTATGCTGACTGCCTGCTGCCAGGGTATTAGACGCCTTGCCACTATAGGAACAATGAAAGGGTTCCTAGGTAGGTCGTCTATAGTGTCAAATCTCTCTAGTAAGGCCTTCCGTAGGGCCTGTGCTTTGTCATAGCTGTTATCAACTGCCTGTCCGTCTACTACTAGCGGTGGGGCTTTAATAGCTAAGCTAGACTTACGCCAGCTTAGTACTTAATAAAGGCCCTGGTTAGACCCAGCCTCCTCAATCCTAGCAGCCCAGTAGGCACGTTTTACCTTCCTAACTATAATCAGAAAGGCCTTCTGCTCCTCTAGGATAGGCGGCGGTATAGCTAGCCCAGGCTCTTAGGCTTGTTGGCGCCTGGCTTCAATAATCGCTTAGTAGGCTTCTAAGCACTCCTCTGTCCACTAGGGGGCTCCCTTACCCTAGTCAGTTCGTCTCTTCCCTACCGTCTAGATAGCTATAGAGAGGAGGCTAACTAGTTAGGTAGTTAGGAAGTCTATTTCTACTAGAGTAGGTTTCTCCCTTGAGGTAAATAAGGCTAAGACTCCTACCTTTACTAAGTCGGTAAGTCGAGGTAGGGCTATATCTAGGACTAAGAGATGGCTAATCTGGCGTCTATATTCCTAGACTTTAACGTGAATGATAAGCGAGTGAGACAGACAAGCGAGTGAGACACAAAACTGCGCCGATGATGCTTCAACACAAATGGAGACGTTTCTTCCACAACACATCATGGCATCCAGAAGTAATGAGTCAGGAATACAGCTGGCCCTTCAAGCTATCAGAATCAATCCAGAGCTTAGTGCACGGGCTGCAGCTACGATCTACTCGGTCAGCCATGCAACATTGAGTCGACGATTGAAGGGCTCTACATCTCGAAGCGACAGGATACCGAACTCGAGGAATCTTACTTTGCTAGAAGAGCAGACGTTAGTTGATCACATTCTCGATCTAGATGCCCGATCATTCCCTCCCCGGATCCGTGGTGTGGAAGAAATGGCTGATCGACTGCTTGCTGATCGCGACGCGCCTCCGGTTGGGAAGCGCTGGGCCTTAAACTTTGTCAAACGATAACCATAATTGCGGACGCGGTTTTTTCGGAGGTACGACTATAAGAGGGCCTAATGCGAGGATGTAGAGGCTATTCGCGGCTGGTTCGCTCTTGTGAAGAATACAATCGCGAAGTATGGTATCGATGAGTTTGATATCTACAACTTTGATGAGACTGGCTTTATGATGGGCCAGATTGCATCTGGCATGGTTGTCACAAGTACTGAAAGGCGTTCAAACACAAAAATGGCGCAGCCTGGTAATCGAGAATGGGTTACAGTGATTCAAGCCATCAACTCGCAAGGCTATAACGTCCCGCCGTACATCATCGTTGCAGGCCAATATCACCTCTCAACCTGGTATACAGAGTCAGGTTTCCCGGACGACTGGGTCATTGCGACGTCAGAAAACGGATGGACAACAAATGAAAGAGGCCTAGATTGGATCCAGCACTATGATCGTCATACGAAACCACGTTTGAGAGGCCAATATCGCCTCCTCGTCGTCGACGGGCACGAAAGTCACCACTCAACAGACTTTGAGCTATATTGCAAGGCAAACAAGATCGTTACACTTTGTATGCCGCCTCATTCGTCTCATCTACTCCAGCCCCTTGACGTTGGGTGCTTTGGTCCGCTAAAGACGGCGTATGGGCAACAAATTGAGGATAAGATGCGGCGGGGCGTAACCCACATCTCAAAGGAGGACTTCTTTCCTGCATATCGCAGCGCATTTAGTCAAGCGATGACTAAAAAAACATCCAAGGGGGTTTTAGAGGAGCTGGGCTTGTTCCTCTGAGTGCAGAAAGCGTCCTATCAAAGCTGGATATCCGGCTACACACTCCAACGCCTCCAGCATCACTACCACAGACACCTCCGCCTTGGGTTTCAAGGACACCAAACAACCCAGTAGAGGCAAGCTCTCAATCCAACTTTATTAAGAGTCGGATCACTCGTCACCAAAGCAGCTCCCCAACCTCTATTTGCGAGGCTGTTGAACGACTTTCTAAAGGTACAAGAGGCATCATGCACCAAGTAGCCTTACTTAGATCTGAGGTACAGATTCTTAGAGACGAGAATAACCAACTCAGTCGACGACGGAGAACTAAGAAAACACGCCTACAACATGGAGGAAGTCTTACTGTAGCTGACGCAGCAGATATACAGTCACAGAAAGATGTGACTGCGCAGGTTCAGGAGGAAATGCGTCGTACTAGTGGTCGCAAACTGAGGGCCGAGACAGGTCAGCGACGGTGTGGCGTTTGTGGTCACCCGGGACACAATTCACGGACGTGCCAGTTTATTGAAGAGATGTCTGAAGATGAGGATTATGAGTAGTTTGAATTGAATTGATGCTGTTGATGTTGATATGGAAGCCAGTTTATCTCATCGGCGCAGTTTTGTGTCTCACTCACTTGTCTGTCTCACTCGCTTATCATTCACGTTACTACTAGTTATGCAATACATACTAGTAATCTTGTGGGAGGTGGAGTCTGACATTTCACCCCGATCCTTTCTTGGGGATTCATGCGATGATGATAGAGCGAGACAGATCAACAGTCCAGGCCCTGGCGCCTTTGTCTTCTCAAATTCAACCACTTGCAGTCGATTTAGGATGACCATCGTCCCTGTGCGGTCGCTGGTTTTCAGATCTCGGACCAAATGAAAGACTGTTATTCATGATTGAACCACCTATGCCGGCAAGACTCATCGAGATATGTTCGTCGTAATACAGGGCTACGCCCATCCTGACCCTGTACAACCAACATCCTAAGATATGTGAGTTGCCTGCATTGATAACATAAGCAGCAGCTTTATGTCGTTGTATTTCTCATGGATTCCGTGCCGGCACTGGGGAAATCCCATGTGTCGTGCTGTCTTCTGTGCTTGCGCTGAACGCGTGAGGATTCGGCTTCGAGACATCGAGTCGAAACCCGGGGATTTTGCTATGGTGGGTTTATCTTTCGACAGCAGGGATGCTCATATAAGATAAGTAGGTAGTTCAAATAAGTTGAAATCGCCGGAAAAAGGGAAACTGAGAGGAATCTTTGTGTTCGTTAAGTCGTGAGAGGCTGCTGTATCACAGAACAACTTGGAAAAGAATGTGGTTGTCGTTGACTTCATCGTTGTCATACAATCCATATCTGCCAGCGCAGAACTGTCTATTAAGAAACTGCCTCCCAACACCTCTCCTCAACGGAATGCGCCAAAGCCTGATCGCGACGAAGAAGCGCATCGCATCGTGCTGCCTCTCAATCCACATTGGTGAATCTCAAAAGTAAAAGTGACCGCCCTTAAAAGGTTGTTTGAGCAACCCTGTATTCTTCGGAACCCTGATGAAGTACCCCTTTCTGCCTGTCTATATTGGTGAATCTCATGTCCTCATCCGCTGTACCCTTACCTCATGTTTCCTCTCCGGTCTATGCAACCTACCATCGTCGGCCCATAGAATCGGATTCGGGAAGGGCGTGGAGAGCTTTCGCCAAGCATGGCCCATGGGCTAGACTACGCCCCGCCTCTCACTGTGGGAACACCAGCGGGAGGTCAATGAGCGGTGGTCAGGGACACAGTCTGTGGTTGAGCTAAGGCCGCGGAGTCGGGGGAATGTTGCCGTAGTGCAGCGTGAGTGGACTGGGAACGGATTGATTCTGGGGCCGACTTCGATTTAGATTGAGTTGCGGATGCGATGAATCGGGAGAGCTGTCTGACGCGTCTGCGTCTAGGAGCATCGATTACCCAGAGCCCCGAAAGACTAAAGTAGATGAACCGAACGTCGAAAGGCCAAACAGAGCCAAGTCGCAGGCGAATTCGGTCATGGAGACAGAAAGAGTTAGCCCGGCTCTTAGAGAACTATAGAGGCACGCTTAAGTGAACCATAACATGGGGTACATAGCACCACCAACAGATCGCTATCTAATAGGTACTACCTTGGGCTACAACATCACCACACAACTGCCTAACAGTGGATTATAAATCTGCCCCGGGTTATGACAACATGAACTCACGAGAACCAATAACATAATATCGCGCATGTCTTACCCCGTTCTAGCCTCTAAGCGACTCAAGGTTCGAGAAACATTCGGGACTTCTTAGCTTCGCCCAAGTCGCGAATCCCGTTCATCAAAGACTTGGTCCCAAATGTGAGCTGATGTCTCTTTATTGGATCCTCACTAGGTCACTAGGTCTCACTAAAGCATGTTGACCCGGAATCCTTTCACAGTTGTGTTTCCAGCTGCCAAGGGTATGCCGGCCCCAGTGGGCTTAGCACAGCCTTTTCTACCCAGCTACGCGGCGTGCTAGTGACGGCCTAGATGTAATAACGCTAGAACTATCGTCAGCAACCGCATTGCACGGACCGCTATACAAGAGGCAGAAACAGGCCGGCGCGGCGACGGTCACGAACTCATAATTCAAGCTAGGGATTTGGCCACCGGCACTTCAGGGTAAACTCATAACCCCATAATCATAATGACCTGCATTCCCAACGTGCTTAGGGCCGGAAACACGTCCCGTCAACAAAAATGGTCGTGTCGTTGAAGGTCCAGGTGATAAGTGTGTTCAAGGCAGACAATCCCGAAATCAGATAAACGTAAACGGCTAACTGCTGTCACGTCACTGAACCGACCAGGCTGAAAGTTCCTGGAAATCTTCGCCATCATTATCATCGTCAAGCAATTTGACTCCCACTCTAGATGGCATTATGGGTACGATCATGGATGCTGGGATGCTCGTCGGCCATTGGGTCGAATGAAGCATTCGTGCTTGTATCACGTATCAAGTTGATCCAAGGATCCATACTAGGGACCTGTCACATACTTCTATCGTGAGATCCCGCAGATGCTCGCTTACTTATCCCCCCCGGCAAGAAAGTCTGTGGCGTTGCTGTCTCGGCGACTAGTGCTGAATACATGATTCGATCGCCACGGCGCTAGCCTAAAGACTTTGACAAAGGCACCCCGCTTTCGTCTGGTGTTCTCTCAATTCGAACCCCTGACGACCGGCTCCGATACAAGATGTTGCCGTGCCCGGCCTTAGGTTGCTCTTTTCGGGAGGGGAGAAATAGATGGGTGGTCTCCGATCATCCATCACGCCGGGTGAGACGCTTCAGTGTCTCTCCTTCACGGAAACGAATCGAATCATGAAGGTCGGTGGTGTACTGCTTATGGCCGCCGTGGCCCAGGCCACATTCACGCCCGGCTTGAACTCGTCCTCTCTGACGACCCTTATTACGAGAGTCCCCCAATGCGCGGTAGGTTCATCCAAGTATCAAGACCGCAAGAGAAGACGTTCTGACCCACAGCTGTCAATTCACAGATGGCATGCCTCATCGACGGGTACCACTCAACCAACTGCCCCATTGACAAGTTAGCAGACTGCGTCTGCACGGACATCCCATTGCAGGCGCGCAGTTCGCAGTGTGTACAGCTGTCATGCGACTTCAACGACCAAATCGGTACGTCAGAGTTAGACGCCGGAGCTATAACTCATGCGATTGTGCTAACTAGAAGCCCTGGAGCCACCGTCAACGTTACCCAAGAGCTGTGCAAGGGCTACCCCAATGAACCGCGAGCACGACCCGCCAAGTTCTTGTCCGTCGGCCTTCCTACCATGACTCTTGTGGTTGTGCTCCTTCGATGCGCGACCCGGATACATGTTTCTAGGCGGTTATGGTGGGACGACGGTGCGGCTTTGTTGTCTATGGTAAGCCTTCTGCGGCACGTAGATGAGAAGACTGAGTCTAATACTTGCAGGCGCTCCTCGCAGTATTATCGGGTCTCGGCTACGCAAGTACGTCCTGCTATCACCCCGTTCCGGATCAATCAGAGGCGTCCATACTCACCTGAATGACCCATTAGATGAAGACTTGGGGTTCGGACACCACTACTGGAACATCGACCCCGGGAACAGCAAGACGATCTTGCAGGTATGAGACTTCCCCTGTATACTTGTTGTCGTTAGCTGACGATTCTATGTTGATCACCTATGTATTGCAAATGCTCTACATTTTCGTACAGTACGTCAAAAGCCCACCAGCGAGCAAGAGGAACGACGATGACTGACCACTCTCTCATGCAGAGCATTCGCCAAAATCTCCATCGCTTGCATCTACTCTCGCGTCTTCGCTAGCAAGACCTTCCGCCTGAAGACAAACATCTTCATGATCTTCGTTACAACACACAGCCTTCTGTTCCTACTTCTTATCATCTTCCAATGTACCCCGATCCAGTCCATCTGGAACCGAGCCATCCCGAGCCAGTGCCTTAATATTTCAGCTATTAGTAATGGCGGCGCGGCCTTTAGCATTTTCGAGGATATGATTCTTATTATCCTCCCCATTCCGGAACTTCTAAAACTTCACCTGGATAGGAAGAAGAAGGCCGCTTTGTTCGGCATGCTCGCCCTGGGGTCATTGTGAGTAGTGGTCCATGGTGCTGCGAGAAATATAATGAAGTCTAACGCGCAGGCGAACTAGTGCATGTATTGCCAGTATGATCCGACTCAAATATATGATCACGTTTGCTCATTCTTTTGACCCTACTTGTACGTCATTCACCCATATGCTCAGTCTCAAGCTCTCGTGCTAAGCTTTCCTGATCTCAGGGGACTACGTGGACGTCGTCGACTGGTCTTCCCTCGAGCTCAACGCCGCCGTTATGTGCGGCAGCCTCCCAGCCCTCCGACCCCTCTTCATCAAAGCGCGAACCCTCGCATCTGCCATCAAGTTGTCCTCGGGTAGCGGCGCGCCCACCTCCACCAGCGGCAAGCTTGACCAGCACCAGCAACGGCATAGTTTCGCGGTGGGCAACATCGCACCGCGCCCTTCGAGGTCCCACCAGGCCAGCGCCCAGTCGTGGCCCGCGGACGCGGACACGGACCAGAAGCCCATTAGGCTGGACTCCCTTGAAACCGAGTCGGCGCCGAGCGACAGCAAATCTAACCACTACTACCGAGAGACGGCGATCGAGGGGAGCGGTAGTGATTTGGACAGCGGACCGTGGTCGGCGGGTGCGGCCTCGGCGGTATTTGATGAGGAGCAGATGAAAGGCCCGGGTATTAGAAAATAGATAGATAGTCATGACTTCCATTTCATGTTCTTGCCTACTCAGAAGCTTCAATTTCTTCTATAGTCCACGTCGTTTTGCCTTCGACGTCGGGCGGACTGAGGCTTCGATGTCGTGACACAGGTCCAAAAACCTCGAGCATTGCTGGTGGTGGAGTTCACAGACTGTCTCAACTCGCTCCTGGAATCATATGGACCTCGCAACCTTTAGCCGAGTTTTTTGACTGGTACACCTATACGTCTGCCAATGACAAAAGTATCACCTTACTAGGATGTAGAGACGGGCTCTGGAGCCAAGCAGCGGGGTCTTTGATCCGTGTACTGCGAGATATCTCGGGAGTACAGTGTGTTTTATGCGTTAGCGAAGTAGAGTCCTGGAGAAGGACTTTGCCGCAAACAAGTGGATCGCTAAGGTAGGGGAAAGGAATCGTTCTTGGAAAATAGGTCCATTACTTTATGCTGGAATGTCCCTTTACAAGAAGCTGAGAAGGGCTCTAGCCAGGTAAAGTGAGGTAGCCATGTTTCAGTTCCGTCCCCGTTGTGCAAGACTAGAGGTTGCGGAAATGGAAGTAGACTTGTCTCTGGGTTGACTGCGAATCATGGCTTACGGCGTTGGCAGCCAAGGCAGTGGGGGTTCAATTCGGTTATCTACTGTCGGAACAGCAAGGCTGATAAGGAGCAATGGGCAGGTATCGTGGGCTGGCTGGCGCCTGCCCTGGGCGAAGTGGGACAACTGGCTTAGTCACCACGGCCGGTTAAGGTGGGGCAACCACCCAGGCCGTCACCACCTACTTCGACCGACCCCTGCCCACAATGTAAATAGGAACAAGAACAACAACAGCAATTATCACGGACATCGACGTGATTGTTGCCGAAGATACACCCTCATGAGGAAATGTATCACGCCTGTGATACCAACATCTACACATTGTCTCTGATAACCTGGCGGACGAAGATGGCGAGAATTTGTCAAATGAGGACCATGAAGAGAACCAAAGTAAAACTTGAAGGGAGAGTTTGTATTGGGGAATCGAGAACATTTAGCAATTTCGTTGCGACTTGGGACACACAAACCGTTGGGCGCAACACAATACCCGAATTTACATAGTGTTGGTATCCCTATCACAGGGATGTTGGGTTGAACCGTAGGGTCCTGCGGGTGACGAAGTATCAATATCTCTGTATTGATTGATTCTGCGTAAGGAGTAGAAGGAAGGTTCCAACCGGAGGTTGGGTGGGTAGTCGAGGTCGAAGTGTACCCCCTCGAGGTGGCCCATGCTCTGCCCTTACTCGCGGCCGAATTGGGCTTCCAATCCGACACATAGACAAAATCATACATGGTTTTGAGGCGCAAGAATACCGAGAAACGACAGTATCAGAGCGTATTGGATCAAGATGAGATTTTCTACGCGAAGTTCCTGTGTCTCACTAGAGACTCGTCAGTGTGAAACGACGCTGGAATTGTTTCTTAGTGCAATGGTGAGCTTTCTTGCTTGGTACAAGAACCTGGAGGCCGCGGCGGACATTTGTTAAAATCCCGAGCCAGTGAAGTGATCGCATATACGGATTTCGGCCACATGCCACAACGGCGCTTGGACATTTACATTGATAAAGGGACAGTTATAGATCCACACACTCTGAGCAGCCTCTCTGCCAGACAGGGGCGAATGCGTCGTGGCACTATCTTTACACAGCGATACTAACACGGAGTTTCAGAGTCACTGACTCGACGACCAGCCCTACCTCCTGCCAAGCACATGGCACCCATAGCATAGCGGCGCTTGGTCGCGTAGATTCTGGACATAATGCTACCGCGTTTATCAATCGGGTTTAGGCCATAGCCCTCGGCGGCCCGCGGAAGCGGGAAGCGAACTAGTCACGTCGGCGAGGAGTGCGAACCGAAGGCTCCATGAATCAGGGGCTCTGCCGCCATTATCGCTTCTTCCAACGAAAAATGTCTTGATGCCGAGCCATCTCTGTGGGTTCAGGTGGATTTGAGTACTCTATTGACATCTCAGCCCTGCGTTCAGCGTCTTGATATGGAAGCTACTGTTGTCATAGTATGAGCATACAAAAGGGCGCAGTCAGCTCTTCGCTCGGTGACTCGTGATGTCTTGGCACGCTCAACTCCCACACTCGCTCGTATTTTATACATTCACTCTTTTGTTTATTGACACACTTGCAAAATGCAAATATTCACTCTTTTGACATCGCTGGCTGCGGCACTCTCAGTTCAAACTCGACACCATAACGGAGCGGCGGCAGCTCATGAGTTGCTGGACAGAGCCGAACATTACGAACATACCGCCCACCGGCACGATGGCCTGATTCCCCGTCAAACAGGTCCCCTGGATCCCACTGTAACACCTCCGCCGTCTTTCAACTCGACGGGCCCAAGCACATTTTTAACCCATTTCTTCACCAATTCCACGACGACGCACCGCAATACGACGTCATCCAGATCATCTTCAACGTCTTCAAGTTCGAAGAGCTCGAGCAAGAAATCTTCAAGTTCTAGCAAGACTTCAAGCAGAAGCTCAACGTCATCCGGCTCTAGCACGGCCTCTTCGTCCAGCGGCAGCAGCTCTCGTGAGTCTTCGTCTTCGGGATTCCAGACAAGCAGCACTCAAGGCTCCTCCTCCTTTACGTCTAGCTTCAGCTCCAGGGCACCTCCATCGTCGACACTAACTCCTGGCGCATCTTCAACTGGCACTGGAGTTTTCACCACTTCGGGACGTACTTCGGCAGGAACATCATCCAACTCAGTATCTAGCACAGGTTCAAATCCCACTGAATCGAGTGCCAGAAGTACTTGGAGCAGAAGGGAATCTACGCAAACATCTGTCTCGTCAGAAACCTTCTCCCTGACGATATCTTCAGGTGTATCATGGTCTACGAGCTACACAACAGCTACTTACACCACCGTGGACGCTAATGGAAACCCATATGTCCCCGTGGCCCCAATTGCTATTCCCGTGATTGGCGGTGTGCCCGTTGTTCCTCCCGTTGGTGGCGGCGATGGAAGGGGAGGGGGAGCAGGAGGTGCGGAGTCGACGACCACCACGACAAGCTCTATTCCTAGCTCTAGCTCTAGTCCGCCAACGCCAACTAGCTCGATAGCAGCAAGCATCTCTTCGAGCTCGATCCCGCCAATCATATCAGCTATTGAGTCATCTTCAGGTTCATCGATCGTGGAGGTCATAACGGCAACATCTCCTGAGACCACAATTGAAGTCATCGAGACTGCCACGTCCGCTGAGCCGGCTTCAACTAGTGCTGCGGCATCCCCAGTTCCGTGTTATGTAAGTAACCCTTGTCCCTGCCTCTTCGGAGGACGGATATGGGACGCAGCAATCTTTCCGGATCCGTTTCTTTTGGTCGTTTACTAATAGATATCGTATAGAACTACGACTGGAAATCATACGGGTGGTGCTGCCCCGGTCCAGACTCTCCTTGTCAGAACGACCTGGGCACCTGTTACTTCGATGGTACAGGAGCTACTGATGTATTGCCAAATACGGCTGGTTGTCCACCTGGAGAGGGGGCAAGGAGTTGAAAGGGTGAGACCGAGTGAGAGATATTGGGTATGATACACGTGGAACGGGCGGAATTGGAATGTGCTTGGACTAAGGTAAGGTAGGGTGGGATTGCAAGGGTACATCTGGGGTATTACAGAGTACATGTGAGTATCCGTACTAAGTACAAATACATACTTAGACTTGGCAAATGTAGTCAAAGGCTATTTCAGCCCCTACACTCGACATGGCCTTTGATGGCACAACAAGATTCCTCTACATAGTCACTCAGTTCAGTTAGGTGCTTCATTGTTGGGGACCCGGAAATCCTCCTTAGGACCGTCTGAAGCCGTGTGAGTACTCATGGATCGACACTGGAGATTCACGCGGGACTATTGAGATATTTGAGACTTTTATTAAAGCAGAATACGTGCTAAGCAAAGCTCCTAAAGTAAGTACCTGGTCAACATGCTATGATCTATGTAGTCTAAAATTCCTGGCGGAATCTCGGGCTCCTTCTAATCCTCTCCCCAAAAGTGTACAATATCCACGGCACTGGCGCAGCGGCGAGTGTCAAGAGTCCCAGCAGGGTGTTTCCCCATCCAAGACCCAATTTGTTATACAACTGCAATCCTCCGAGAGGAAGCAGAGCGCCCAGAAGACTCCTCAACACAGCATTTGCAGCAGTGATGGAAGCAGCGTAGAGCGTGAATGCGTCGACCAAGTATGTGTTGATCGTCATGAGAATACCAATCGAGCCAAAACCCATGATACCGGTGCCAATCATCGGCAGGATCCAGTGGAGCTGCTTGTCCGCCGTCCAGCCGTACATCATGAGACCGATAGGAATCGTGAGTGAGGAAGGGACCGTAAGAATGAGGTGGAGGCGGTCCTCGGGCTTGGGCTCCTTGCCTTCAGCTTGGCGTTTCTGAATGATCTTATCCGACAAGGTACCGACGTAGGCAAGACCGAGAATGTTGCCGACACCACCTACAATGAACGAGAGGCCGGCTCCGACGGAACCGAAGCCATACGTATCGCGGTAAACAAAGGTGAAAGTGTATAAGAGGGTGTAGAGGAAGCCGTAAAGCATGGCGACATAAAGACACAGAATCATGACGACTGCCGAGCGGAAGAACATCCGTCCTGGACGAATGATGGCCGTGAGGAAGATCTGGCGCTGGGTGCCCTTCTTCTTCATTCTTGATTGGTACTTTTCGTTGCCAGTCTCTTTGCGCAAGCGGGCTGCTTTCCGTTCCAAGAGTACTGGCGCGTAAGACTCTTTGAGGACGAAGAAGGAGACTAAAGTCACTGCGCCGGCCTAGGATAGAAGATCAGTTGGCACATTTAACGGGCTGACTCGGCCGAGAAATACGTACGGTTATTGTAATGATCCAGAAGACCCATCTCCAGCCCTTAGCTTCTACGAGGAAACCAGCACAGACAGGTCCTACGACAGGGCCAAGGAGAGGTCCAAGACTCCAGATACTGATGTAGAAGCCTCTCTTTTCAACGGGCATCATATCCGCAATCGATCCAGCGCCGCAGGTAATCACGGCGACACCAGAGAAACCGGCCAAGAAGCGGAAGGCGATGAGCATATCGATGTTTGTCGCAAGTCCACAAGCAGCGGAGAATACGACGAAAAGGGCGTTGCAGACGTGATAGATGTAGACGCGGCCGTACAGCTCGCTCAGCGGCGAAATAATTAGAGGGCCCAAAGCAAAGCCGAGCACGAACACGGAGACAACAAATGTTGAGATCGATTCGTCGGTTTCGTTGAATTCGGCCATGACTTGTGGGATACCGGGGGCGAACATTGACGACGCCAGGGGCCTAAAGTCGTGTCAGTCAGTGTCCAGAGGCTAGGAATCATATCCTGGGGATCTCTTCGTACGTGAGGAAAGTGATAAAGGAGAGCGTCGCGATAATGCCCAGTTTGCGATTCATCGTCCAGTTCATGGGGTTCTCTGGATCCTGGTCGCCGGACCACCATACAGAGAACTCGCTTTCCGGCTCGGCAGCATCATCGAAGATCGTGTTGACGCTGTTCGCATTTGGCTCGGCGTTTGTGGCTTCTTCGTCGTCTCCTCGTAGGTTAGGTGAAGTAGCACTAGAACTTGTTTCGGTAATAGGGAGTTTCTCGGCCTCCGGAGGGGGCGACTCGATGATTGGTGACTTCATGCTGGTGTATAGCCTCTCTTGTACTGGTGTGTTGGAAGGCAAGAGAAGGATGGTGGTTGGTGTTGGCAACTAGTCAAAGTCGGGACCTTTCCAGCAGAGTTGAGAAGAGGCGGTTGTGTAGTTGTATATAAACACTATTGAGCCCAAGAGCTCACTAATAGAAAAGTTGGAATACGTCGGGTTCGGGTTGGTAGATCCATCCGCTTTCTCGTTAGGCGTTTCCGAGATTCATGAAAGCGAGGAAAACGAATCGTATATGCCCCGTCAGCTTTCGTAGGCTCTATTTTGACAAGTGAGGACGTGGAAAAGGAAAAAGTAGGCTGCAGGCCATTATCAGAGACGGACTGGAAGTCGCACAAGTTGGAATGATCTTCTTGGTGGGCCAGGCAGTGCAGGTGACCAGTGATCCTTGAAAGCGAGACCGAAGGTCTGGGGGGTGACAGGCCCACAAGCTATCAGAGGCCTCGTTTCGAGGAACGACTTGCATCTAGGCTCTAGCTTGGTGTCTAATGACGGCTCTGCTGATCAACGGGTAAGCTAAAAACGTGCGAAAATTCGCATGTATGTGCTTGTGGCACTCAAGGGCGATGACTAGTATGGAGACGGTGTTCAACAAGAGCAGAGTTAAGACATCGAAGGTGAAGGTTGCGCTACGCATCTTCAACGATGTTGAACATTCACAGAATGACGCTTGTCCTTGCTCTCCGCCTTTCGGTATCTCTCGTCGATTAGCGTTCCTAGTTTTTTGTCATTCTTCAGTCTGACGTCTTGTTCGATTCGTTCTTGATGTTCTCTCCGAGCCTTTGCCTTAGGTAAGTATTGGATTTAGCACTGGTCGTGTCTGCAATCGTCCCATTCTACGTATTCGCTATTCAAGCATTGCATAGGAAAATTTGGATCAGGTCCAAAGGTTGCCCAATTGTTATCTTCGAAGGATAGTAGTTTCCAGCTCGTGAATTGGTCATCTACGTAGACATCCTTAATTAGCTTGTCGTTAATTCTTCGTAGGTAGAATCGAGAGTCTCTTAGGTGAGAGGTGCCAAAGGCACCTATCTTCCAGGCATTCTGCCCAGAAGAGTTCCTTATGAAAGGGGTCCTTGGGGTCGAGTAGGGGGTGATCCTTAGGCGTATAAGGCGTTACTAGGTTCTTCTTGCGGTCAGAAGTCCCATAAAGTTCGACCGTCTGATCGTCGTCGTATAGGTGAATGTGGTTACACCGAGATTCGTCGAGGTCCTCTTCAGAACTGGTGTCGTCAACGCTAGGCGGTGCCTTATGATCGATCTCCGTCTAAGCACGTCGTCGAGCGACTTCACGAGGTTCGTCCGAATCGTAGGGTGAATTTTCACCTTCGTCGAATGTATATGAGCTAGAACCGAAAGCCGGTTCTTAGCTATCTATTCGGAAGTCGATTCTTCCGTTCTCGTTCATTCCGAAATCAAGGTTCTTTCCCTTAATGATTTCGATTCCGTATTCGCGGTCGAGGTCTTCGAGTTCCCTGGCTAGGATCTCTTCTTCTAATTAAAGTAGGGATTTCTTATCCTCCGCAGTCATTCTTTTCTGGAGTCTTCCTCCGACTACTGCGAGTATTTGAGCTCGTCTCGGATAGCTACTAGGTTATGTCCTAACGGCTTCGTAGGCCGTGGACAATATCTGAATACATTCCTTGTTATGATCCTCGAGGGTCTTCGGTCGTTGCGTAACCTCTTGCCTGCTTGTCATAGCGAGGGTCTTGATGCTGGCGGGCTCCTTAGGGTACCATCCCGTGTTTCCTTACTGTCTTGATGGGTAAGGCAGTTGTCGTCGTAGCATGCTGTCCAAGAGAGTTGCTTGTGAGGAATTTCCTTGGTAGCGATCCTGATCTGTTTCTCGGGCACAGGTCGCTGCTGGATCCTTCTGGGTTGTTGACAGTTGCGGGACATGTGTCCTGGCTTGTCGCAGTTGTAGCACCTGAAGACTTCCTTCTGGTACGGTTGTTCTCGTTTGGCCATGCTGAGGTCCATCGGTCCACTATGGTGTCCATAGGCCGTGGTTTGTCGGTTCTGCCAATGGTTGTTTCTAGGGCGGTTCTGTCCTTAGAAGCGCGGTTAATAGCGTTTCCCAGTATTTGCATGGGGGACTTGTTTCCTTTCCCTTCGTCGTTCGTAAAGTCGATTATCAAGCTTGATAGCCAGTTCGACGTATTTCAATAAGTCGTTGGGTCTGTCTTATCGAGACAGTTCGTCCTTGACTTCCTCCTTGAGCCCTTCATAGAACATGAAGATCTTAGCGTTATCGGAGTAGTTAAGTCGGGCGCAGATTCGTCTAAATTCTACGGCGTAATGCGAGGCTGATCCTTTCTGTCGAAGGTTTGAGAGCTCTCGTTCGTATTATCGTTCTTCATCTAGTTCTTAAAACAGAGATAAAAGTGCACTTTCGAATCTGTACAGTCCTTCAAAGATACCTTGGGTCTCTAGCTTAAGAATGTCCCAGTCGTTAGTTATCATAAAGTCGGTAAGATATAGTTCAAACCATACAAGGGCTTTTCCCTTTAAAAAGGAGGCGGCATAGATGACCTTCTCGGCTTCGTCCTTAAAGTTCATTCCGTAGAAGCGTTAGTAGGCTCTGACTTACGTAAAGAATCCCTTCAGTTGTCCTGGGGTTCCGTCAAAGGCTTAAGGTAAGTTAAGCCTGAGCTTCTCTCGTCCGTCATGCGGCGTAGCGATAATGTTAGCGGCACCGTAGAGAGTATTAACCTTCTTCGTAAGGTAGTCCGCTTCCTTGGTCTTGTTCTCAAATCGCTCCATAGCGTCATTAAACATCTATTGCATCATGGCGATGTCGGAGTCGTTCTTCTTAATCTTCTTCTATAGGGCTATATAGACCTTACGAGTGAAGCCAATTTCTTCTTCCGAGTCTTCGACGTCCTTCATTTCTTCGTCCAGGGTTTTGGGTAGCATAGGAACTTTACCCTTAGAGCCGCTGTCGGAAGTGGACGGGGTGGTTTAGGAAGACATCGTCGTTCTTACTATTAGTGAGTTTCGTAGGGTCAACTTACTGAACAGGAGCAATTAAAGTATTACGGCCAGCTAGTCGTAGTGAGGTATGTTTGCAGAAGTTGAGGCTACGGAACTGGTAACGTGCATGATAAGCGAGCGGATCGCTCAACAGCGACCGCCACATCTTTTTCTTTCCAACACATATCCATCCACCACAATGATACAGTCATCAAACAAAGAAGCTGGTATAATTCTAGTAGTTCAAGCTATCGAAAAAACACCAAATTTGAGTATTAAAGATGCAGCTCGGATCTACTCAGTGCCATTTTCAACCTTACGCGCCCGTATTAATAGAAGAACTTCGCGACTTGAAACCGTACTAAACTTACGGAATTTGACGTTGCTCGAAGAGGATACGCTAGTTGAGTATATTCTCGACCTGGATTCCCGATTATTCCCTCCTCGGATCAGTGGTGTAGAAGAAATGGCTAATCGACTGCTCGCCGACAGCGACGCGCCCCCAGTTAGGAAGCGCTGGGCTTCGAACTTCGTCAAGCGACACCCACAGCTCCGGACGCGCTTTTTTCGCAAGTATGACTACAAGAGGGCCCAATGCGAAGATTCTTTAAGGATCGTTAATTAAGGTACCGAGTGTTACGACCCAACATGCATGACCAAGAACAGGGCCTGCCCCGCAGGCTCGCGGCGGTTACAACACACCATATATGCAGGAGACAAGGGACACTAGGCACCCTCTCACGGAACGGAAGAACTATGGTACAAGTCACGTGATGATAAGATAAGACATGAGCGACCATGGTGGGGCCATGAGCGCTCATGCCAAGTAATAAGCGCTCACCCGATCAGAGGGACTGATCATTGACAAAGGATATGTTCAGGACCAGGACTTGTATATAGGATAGACTTGAGCCGGACTCTAGGACAGACTTCCCATAGCTTCTTCAGCAATTAACTTCGTATCAGATCTTATGATCGCTTTCAGCTATCTTCCCTGAGAACCTCTTTGACAAGATTACGATTGATCACCGAAGCCTTCTGACGGAAACTATATGTACCCACAACTACCTAAATGCAGTAGAGGGATCTCTCTTTTGTATATGGCGCAACGGTACAATTCCGAATTCTGTCACCTTCCCTACTTGAGACCGATTCGACCCAGTGTAATAATCATCCGATTATTACATCTGATTATTACATTCGGTTATTACTGTTACCAGTTCCGTAGCCTCAACTTCTGCAAACATACCTCACTACGACTAGCTGGCCGTAACAAAGGAGTAAGTAAACACATAGTTTCATGGTGGCTGTAGCCGAAGTGCCAAGTGTAGTCAATCATCCTGGATAAAGGAAGAAAGTGCCTGGATCCCCGCTCTTCTCATTGGCCTTCACATTGTTTCCTTGATGATCGCTTAGACGTACCAGTAATTTTAGTCTTGAAACAACCCCGCGGTCTGCCAGGTCATTTAGATCAGACGACAGCGAGTCCCCGCTGTGCAGCATTGATGGGATGCCGCTCGCTTTACCTCAAACTTAAGCCTAGAAGATCTTATTGAAGACGCTGATCATAGCACGCGTCTTATAAGGAGAGAAGGCCCCAACGGAAAACCTTTTTCCGGGTCAGTGGCTTCTTATCTGGATTTTCAACCGAGTCGCAGCTTTAGCACTTTGCGTCATGGCCATTCTGCGGCTTCGTCGCTCGGAGTGTTGACAATTGCCGGCGCTAGCAATTGACATTCACCTGGTCGTTTTCAATAGACTTTGAGAAAATTTTAATCCTGCAAGCGTGTCACACATATGATAGGCAACGTAATGATCAAAATTGGGTTTTTTGTATACCGGTGGAAGTAGTGCGATCAAGCCTCTACTGCGCTCTCCAGCTGGCTCATTGAGCCAAGTATGTTCGTTCCTCTTAAGTAGGTAGTATGATACAAAGAAGTGTTCGACACGTGATGGTCTATTTACAACAACGCCGCTGCTCAACTCCACAAATGCTATGTGCTTTT